TCTCCCTCTTAATCTATCAATCATCTTTTGAGTCCTCTCTTGATCAAAACCTTCTACAGCTAATGTACTCCATTCAGCTAATGAGTTCTATGTTTCCATAAACTTTTCGTTCTTACATGACAAGGTAGACATATCATCCAACTTCAAAGTAAACTATCCACTAACAAAGTCTGAACTAAAGGCCTATAAGACTTGGATAAAGATGACAACAAAATTAAAGCCTTCTTTTCATCTTCTAACTCATTAATAGAAATCACCAACAATTAAGAAATCAATTTATTAAACTCATTCAGATAATTATGAAGACCTGTACCTTCTTTCATCTTTCAAAAATATAGATTTACTTTCAAATATATTCCGTTAATCAACGACTTTGATGCGTAAATACTTTCAAACTTACCCCATAAATTCTTTAGAGTACTCTTAATCAACACACTGTACTTTATCTCTAGGGCTAGCATTAATCTAATAGTACTAATAGTTTTCTTTTAAAGTTTATTCCAATTACTATTAGATATTCCCTCAGGCTTATTATTCTTTAATGCCTGATCCAACTTTTGTTGTACTAATAAATCTGAAATCGTACTTTACCATAACATAAAATTACTCTTTCCATTAAATAATAGAATCTCAAACTTGGACATAGACGTACTAGACATACCTTCTTCAGACATCTTGAAATATTTGCTTCATAATCTCTTAGGCCTACCTATCCTCTTTCCTAACCCCAAACCTTAACTTCACTTTGATACTACTTGTTAGATGAAAAACCCCAATCTAATTACATCAACAAAAGTAAAATCGAACAATCAATCAATCACATAAGATATAACAATTCAACATGGTTTGGTTTAACTAACTTACATCTACAGATGAGAAAAAAAAAATCATTAATTGTAGATAATTACATCAAAACAATCATTCACAATTAATACCCATAAATCTTCTCAATCTCTTTTAGTCCTATTAAGTATTGTCATCCCAAAAAAATACATACATATGTGCACCCATTCACCATACCTATATGAACCCTCTCAGTCTCCTCTAGTCCACTCACTGCAGCATATCTATGTTGACCATCTCATTCTTCTCTAGTTCACTCAAAAATATATTCAAACATACACCCAAATAAAACATAAATTCTCATTAGTCCCATTAGATGTTTATCTCATAAAACCATATAACTCTCTTATATCTTTTTCTCATACATAATCTTATAGAGACTTCACTTATTTATAAGCATATAAATTGTCTGTTAAGAATCTCTTTCCTCTTAAAATTTTTCTTCTGCATGTCTTTTTGTCCATTAAGTAATATCTATCAATCTCAAACAAATCTGTTATAAGATTTGAGTCACTATTCTCAACAGATTCAATGAGTCTGATAGTGATTATCAGTATTTCATGTTATATCATGGAAGCTACTAGCTTTGTAGTTGACCTGAACAAATGAAAGGAACATGTTTCTAGGATTAACTAGGATAGTAGTCATATAAAAATTAACTTGATTAATGTTATAAAGATTTTATCAAAACCATGCATTCTTGTATACGAAGCTAATTAATTTAGCTAAAATATTGCTGACTTTTTCTTATGCAGCATGTAGTTTTTGGGATGTTTGCAGTTGGTATTTGCCTATTTGGTTATATTAAGCCCTTGAGGCCATCGGTTTTCCTTTTTGCCTTGTCCCGCTGCTTTCATTATGGTGGCAATCTGTTTACTTTGTAGCACGAGTTTCTTGCTTTCGTGTAAAGAAGGAAGTTACATGGAAGAACTAATTTCAATTGTTAACTTAAGATGTAGATATAGAATTTATAAATTCTAACCATCAATTAACGTGAAATTTAACTCAATCAATTCATACAATCTCGTTCTTGATAACTAACAGATCTAAAATTTAAATTTCAGTACTTATAATCTTTTTTCCCTATCTCAAGTTGTAGCCTCCTTCATATAAAAAAATTCAAACTATCAAAGGATCAAGACGATACAGCCAAAAGCCTGTAACTGGGAAAGTGATGATGGGGACAAATGAGAGATCAACTCTTCAAATTGTGCTGTGAAAATAGGTAGTATTAAACTAGAAGTCAATCATATTAGTCATTTTCATGAACATTCAGAACTTTATGCCAATATTAAATCAAGTCCAAATTTGGTGATTGACCGAACAAACAGTACTGAAACAGATTAAATTTACATGACTTCCTAATACTTTTTTTAATTATTCCACAATTAAGATCATAACAAAAATATTGACTTGGCACCAGAAAAGGTGTCTTCTAGTTTTTGGACGAAGAGAATTATTGGTTATATTAAGGCCCAGATGTTTTCAGTTTTCCCTCATTGATCTACCACTCCTTTTATTGTTTCTGGTTGATTTCTCACAGATGATGTTGGAGATGAGTGTTTGTTTCGTCAGACTTAAAATTCACTAGCACAACACCCCCCCAAACAAGTTTTTGATACTATTATAATTAACCTAAAACAAATTGGTTATTATATAGAAATAAACATTAAAACATAAACTGAAATTAGTCCCATAGGATGTTGTTAGAAGAACAGATGTCTTAAAGGACAAGAAAGACTGCCTATCCTTAACCTGAAGCTGCACACTCTGCCTGCCATCCTATTGGAAAAAGCTATACGTTTGTTACGATTACTATTTTTTTGTGTCCATTTTGATTTTCATTTGTATAGCCAAACATACCTATGCTCAACCTTTCCCCCATGTTTTTTTAATACCTGCAAGTACTTCATTATTCCAAATCTTTTTGTCATTTTTTCAGTGCTTCACTTTATCTCCTAACAAAGAGCAAATGGTCCCAAACTGCATTCCAATCACTAATACCCTGAAACTGAAACCGGATACATGAGCAGGAATTGCTGTTCTTTCAATTCCATCATACCGAATAATTAACTTTACTTTTATCATGGTAAAAACTGCTACTAAAAAGTAAAAAGAAATTCACTACTGGCTGTCATCAGTCATCAGTCATCACGAAGAAATTTATGGGAATTTTTTTGGTTTCATAAGCAGTGTAATTAAAGAAGTAATTTTGCTCTCTTTGCTTAATTGGTACTCGAAATTTTTTTTCATTGGCTTGGCTACATCTTATATGAAGCTTCACTCGAGTCCATAATTTTTTTTTTTTAAAATATTCAAGCCTTTGACATTTCTTAAATGGAGTGATCGAGTCTATGACTATCAAAATATGTCAACTTCTCTTACTTTTCTTACTCATAAATCATCATAAATATGAGACTTGCTTCAAAATTTTTCTTATGACAAAAAAAAAATGTCAATTGATGCATATACTATTTTTAGATAATTAAATTGAATTGTGGAATTAGATATGAACAAGATAGCTAATATTAGATTATTATCTTATTTGTAACTGAAATTTTAATCAAACTACCAAATCTTAGTACACAGGAAAACAATGAAAAGTAAAAGAAACATTTGTATTTGGTATACTGGGATGTGCTCATATTTTTGAAATTTTAATTAACAAAATTTGGTTATCACATTTGATATTCCGTGACATTTTTTTTAAATGTAGACTTCCTAATATGAATATCTCGTCACAAAAATATTGTAATTTGATTCCTTATGATCCAATTCGAAGGAATGGTAATGTTAACAATCACAAAAGTATATATTAAAAAAAAATCATTGATCTAATCTAATTCAAACGGTATTGTCTCACACTTTACATTATACACATAATATATTTAGAGGAACGATAAAATTAATTTTAGTAAATTAAAAAATAATGATAATAATAAAATTAATTATTATATTAATTATTATAATAATATTAAAATTAATGATAAAATATGTGTTTTACTACAAATATAATAATTGCAATGATATTTTTTTATAGTGTCTTTTTTAAAAAAATGTAATTTTTTTTCTTTGAAAGATAATTGGTATCCAAAACTATGACCAATTTATAGTAAGCCGCGTGTATACTAACTTGAATTTTTTTTAAATTAAAAATTAATTTCATTCGTGACATTACATATATTATATTTCTATTATAAGAAAGTGAATTCACCTCTTTTGATTAACTATTTACTAACAATGTTAATCCAAGTGTCAAAATTTTAAACATATCACCATTATACCATTTTTGTCATTAATTGTAGAAAGAACTGTCATCTCCGCTCCATCAACTGAGTTTGGAAAGCTGCCGGCTGTCACCTCCTTGGCTTCCCAAAATCAACTTAAAATGTATGGTATCCTAATCAAACTTCCAAAAAAAATTTCACCTTTTTGGCTTGCTGCTACTTGAGTTTGTATCAATTCAACACGCTGCTGGTTTTCCAAACACAGCTTTTAATGTATGGTAACCCAGCACAACATACCAAAAATAACCATCCAATTTCACCGGTTTTTGGTAATATGATAATATACATATACAAAACTTATTTGGTAAAAAATGTTTATTAGCTGACCTAAAATAAAAAAAAAAATTGATTGACATGGTTTAGTTTGATTAATTCTGAATCTTAAAAAGTTTGATTTTATATTTAAAACTTAATTATTAACTTAAATTTTGTTTGAGGATTAATTTTTTAAAATTAAATCAAATTGAAAACTAAAGTATGTGTGTGTTTTATATTTGAGATATTGAATTTTAAGTATGAAAGTTTGTATGTATAAGTAAACGTGTATAGATATGCATAATTAATGTAATTATATTTTCTTAAAAAAATGTATTTATATACCCAAAGATTTACTTAATTAAATTAAGAAAATTTTATATATTTATTTGAATAACAATATATTTAAAGGGACTTTGCATTAAAGATTGATTTAAGCTAAATTTGAATTTTTCTAATTTTTAAACATTTGATTTGAAAATTATATAAAATCATAAAGAAAACTCCTTGTATTTGCATTTCAGCTGAGACTTAAAAACAAAAAATCCATATATGAATTTTTATTATTTTTCAATTTAGTAAATATAATATATTTATTTTACAACCCAACCAAATAGAACAAATAAAGAAAAAGAAACTGCAGCACTTCAATATCAGTTTCTTGTGGACCACTCAACGCGAAGGCCCGTGAAATGAAACTCCCTTCCCCTCACAAAGCGCGAGGACGGACGGACCCACTGATTTTCTCTTTTCTTCTCTTTTGTTTTCCCTCCAAGTCTACTCTCTTTCTCACCAAACAAACAGATTCTAGAGAGGAAGGAATCAACATAGTTATTAGTTACCGCAGCCAACAAAAGACCCAAAAGGAAAATCCTGAACCCCAATTCTCGTCAAATCCAAGAAAACTGCAAAAACCCGTTTTTTTACAACCCTTCCAGAAAGGCAAACCACTAAACACAAAACCCCACAAAAACCCAAGACCGAGACAAGGAAAATCCAAAGCAAACAACCCGCCACGTCATCATCTTCAACCCCATCCATGCCGAATCCTTCTTCCGCACCCCGCCCAGCGGAATCTCCGGTCACCGTAGAATACCGCACTAACCATTCATGTCTTACCAAATGGGCTATCCCTTACAACTCAAAACTCAAACCCAAGAAAACCATTAACAGTCCTTATTTTGAAGTGGGTGGCTTTGATTTCCGCTTCTTGTTATACCCAAAAGGCGATTCTATGGCCTCTCCTGGTTACCTTTCTCTCTACATTGAAATCAATGATCCACGTTGCTCTTCCAAATTTGATTGCTTTGCTAGTTATAAACTAAGCATTTTGAACCATGAAGATAAGTCAAACTCTTTGACCAGAGAGTCTTATTATAGATTCTCTTTCAAGAAAAAAACTATTGGTTGGGGTGACTTTGGACTTGCTACTTCAGTTTTTGATCCAAAATCAGGGTTTTTCAAGAATGGTTCTTTGCTTGTTTCTGTTGAGATTTCGATTTTGGATGAGTCAGTTTCATTTTCAAGAGATAATAACAACAATGAGGTGGAATATTCTGTATCTTCATTAGGTTGTAACTCCCTTGTTTTGAACGGGAAATTTACTTGGAAGGTTAAAAATTTTAGTTTGTTTAAGGAAATGATCAAGACCCAGAAGATAGTTAGCCCTGATTTTCAAGTTGGGGAAGTTGTAGTTCATATTAAAGTGTACAAAACCAAGGTTAATGGAGTAGGGTGTTTGTCTTTGTTTTTGGAGGCTTCTGAGGCACACAAGTGTGCCAAATGTGCGACCCCTGATAAGAGTAGTTGGTGTTTGTTTCGAATATCTGTTTTGAATCAAAGGCCAGGGCTCAATCATATGCATAGGGACTCATATGGGAGGTTTAATGAGGAAAATTCTAATGGGGATGATACAACTCTAGGTTGGACTGATTATTTGAAGATTTTGGATTTTATTGGGTCCGATAAAGGGTTTGTTGTGGATGATACTGTGGTGTTCACGGTATCTTTCAATGCAATCAAAGATTCAATTTTTACCAAAAGTGCTGGTTTGAGAAATTTTAGTGTTATAAAAAAATGTGACTCATATATGGGAAAGTATACCTGGAAGATAGAAAATTTTTCGAGGTTGAAGGATGTTCTGAAGAAGAAAAAGATGAAAGGAGTGTTTGCTAAGAGCAGGAAGTTTCGGATTGGGAATCACGAGTTTCGCCTCGTTGTTTATCCTAGAGGTAACTGATATAAAGCATTTTATTTCATATTCACATTGTGCTTTCCGAGTTGATAATAGATTGTGAAAATAATTACTAATCAATTGTTAAGATTTTGGCAACATCTAGATGGTCATGCAACTTTGAAGAATGAATGAAAATGTTGATATTAACAAGGGTTTTCTCTCTAGAGAATTTTAATCCAAATGTCTTGTTTATTCAGCCAGATAAACATGTAAACTTTTACTATTTAAGCATCATACTTATTACCTGTTAGACTAATGGATGGAAATAAGAAAGAAGGACAAAATGATAGAATTGTTTGGTGACAACAGGTCTATCTCAGAAACCTTTCTACCTTTCCATGTTTCTTGAAGTTTTGGATCCTCGAAATCCTACCACAGATTGGAGTTGTTATGCTTGTTATCAGCTATCCATTGTGAATCAGAAGATGAAAGACAATTCTATTTTGAAGGAATCACGGGCACGTTGCTCAAAAGCTACTAAAGAATGGGGGTGGTCTGAATTCGTGACTCTTACAAGTCTTTTTGATAAGGATTCTGGGTATGTGGTTCAGGATACTGTTATCTTTGGTGCACAGGTTCTTATTTTGAAGGAGACCTTCAAACTGCAGGACCTCCCAGAGTCAAGCAATAAACCCGCCCATAAAGATGGAGAAAAGAAAAGGTGGTCAATCATTTGGAAGGTGGAAAACTTCTTATCCTTCAAGAGAATATTAGCAAGCCAGAGTATGTATAGCAAATATTTCCAGGTTGATCAATTAGAGCTTCGAATTGGTAAGGCCGTATGTACCTTTTGTTGGTTTTCTTTTTTTTTTTTTTTTGCCACCTGGTGTCAGCAGATAGTTGGTAATTTTATCATCCAAGTTGCTCTTCCCTTATTCTAATATTGTAATGCAGGGGTAAATGTATTTTCTGACTTCATTTATGCATACTTGGAGTGTGATCCATCAGTTCTGAATGATCCTGATAAGGATTTTTGGGTTAGTTATAGGATGACTTTGGTTAATCAAAAGCACCCTGCCAAAAGTTTCTGGAAGGAGTCTTCTCTATTTACAAAAACTCGTGCTAATTGTGATCTACAGTTTATGAAACTATCTGATATGCTCGAAGCAGATGCTGGGTTTGTTATGGGTGAGATGGTTACTTTTGTTTGTGAGATCCTTGATTACTGCCCATGGTTCGATTTTTCAGAACTAGAGGTTAGCATGCTTTTGTGTGTTTTCACTTTGCAATTAGAATTATTTTCTCTTCTTTGTTCTGTAACTTTTACCAGTTATTTACTCCTCTATTATGCCACTTGTTGTTTGTCCATTTCTAGCTCAATACTTCATTAGGGTGGTCTAATTATCTATTCTAAATTAGTATTTATGTATGATGATTATCATTTTTTTTTTCATATCCCTGTGAATACAGAGCAATATCCTTGGAAAGTTTTTTTTTTTTTCATTTTCATAGCTATGCGTATGGATTTTTTTTTTTTTTTTTTAGAAAAGCAAATACAAAGAAGAGTAACTGCTTTGCAGAATTTTCTCTATATCTTTTTATTTCTTTTAGTTGGGTTGCAGGATTATTTCTCTTGCCATGGACTGCAGTTTTAACTTACTGAGTTTTACAATTATTTGTCATACAAGTTACCACAGTCCTGAATCCTAATTTAACTCTGTTCCTATGTTTGAAATTTTTTTAACCCTTGATGTTACAAATCCACAAATGTTTTACCGTGGAGAATATTATGTGCAGGTTCTGGGAGATGTTACACCAACTGAGCTTCAAGAAACTACTTGTTCTGAATCTTGTGATGTAATGAATGGATATAATGTGGATATCTCCAGACAGCTTCTTGCAACTGCAAGGGATCACCTTAGTGTTGAAGATAATACTTCTCTGATACTTGTTATTCTGAAAGAAGAACTTAAAAATGATCTTTTCACATTGGCTGGAATTTTGATTGGAATGCGGCTTTACCTCGACAATCCTATAAAACAAAATAACTTTTTTCACCAATTATCTGGTTGCATTGATACAGGGCAGATAGATCTTAATCCAGATAAATTTCTATCCAAGCTAACTGCTTCAATCACCGATGCTGATTTCTTGCGTCAGAAAATTGACAATGCACTTTTAGATGTAATGGTCGAGTGTTGCCAGAGATTAAATAGAAAATCCGGTGAGGATCCACATGATGCAAGCTCAAAACCATTCCTAGATACCAACGAAGCTAGCCCTCAAACTAAATTTCATTGGCGAAGTCGGTTGGCAAATTTTCTTCGATCATATGAGAGATTCTTTGGGATTGACAATTGTATGGATAATTGTAGTAATACTTCAAGGAAAGCTATTCTTGGACAGCATGATTCTACTTGTAAGTCATCTGAGGAGATCTTGGGCTTTATTGTAAATTCATTGAAGGCTCTAGATGACAATATTACACAAGATACCTCAAAGCCAAGCCAAGGGTGTCAGTTTGTGGAGAAGATTTTGGTATTACTAAATGAAGCTCCTAGGCATCTGCTACCAGATCTAGTTTCTTTGTTGCCCAAGTTAGCTTGTCAGCTTGATCATAAAGTTGTTGCTTGTGCTCTTTTAGATCAGCTGGAAATGCCAGGTGCAGAATCTTCAATGCGACTACCTGTAAGACTTTTCATCTATTTTCACCTAATAGTCCTAAATGAAATTTATTAAAGGTGCTTGAAAAAGGCTTTCACCATTTAATTAAAATAATGATATACGAGTTAGTTTGTAGTTTAGAGTTTAGAATCAGATATCTATATTAGTCGCTATGAAATTCAGGTCTAAAATTATGTGGATAGCATGTTCATGATACTTATACCCAGGAGCATTCTAGAAGGAGCTTGACACTCATTTTAGTTGGATGGTAGCCCTTAAGCCTGATTTATTGAGGTTTTGATGCTCATTGTGCGGTTCTTTTATCGTTTGTCTCTTTATCTTTGAGTTTCTTCCGTTTTTAATTCATACAAATCCATACAATAAATTTTACTCATTTTAACACCAAGATTTATCTCTCATTAAAACACCATGTGGCATGCTCTTTTTTTTTTTTTTGGTTTTTGCGTCAGGTTTTTTTTTCAGTTTTGCACTTTAAAAATGAAAAAAGATAAATGATGCAATGTGATGGAAATTTGATGAAAAAGTATAAAGGAAGGAGGATAAGAAGTTGGAAAAAAGTTGGTACCACTGGAATCCCATATTTACTTTTTTTTTTCTTTTTACTTGGGAGTAAAAAATGGGATTTCGTATCAGATCAAATAAAAATTGTCCACTTTTTTTCTTTTTTTTGTTTATTAGTTTTTTATTAGATAAATTTTGTAAAAAAATAATGTTAACGAAGGTGTCATGTAACACCCTATTTGTTTATTTTGCTTTTTTTTGTTTTTGTTTTGGTTTTATATTTTTTAACTAAATCAAATTTAAACAAAATAAGTCAATTGATAAAAATAATAAAATAATCAATATCCGATAGGTATCTATCTATCTCGATTCAAAATAAGCATTTTTGTAAAAAATCCATATCAAGTTGGATCAATTTTTTATAAAAAGTAGAGGCGAATCAAAAACAGATTTAAGATGCTCTATTCAAAGCCATTTCATGATATATATCAAGGTATATATTTTATTATCTATTTAATTTTATATTTATATATATTATATTAATAAAATTATTATTTTATACTTTAATTTAATATATTAACATTTTAAATCTAATTTGAATGTTCACATGGCACCTCAATGATCTTACTTTTCCTTTTTTTTTTGCTTATTTTTCTTTTTTTTATTGTTATTTTGTTTATTTTTTATTTAATGAAGTTATTATTTAATATTTCAATTTAAAAAAATAATATTTTAAACTCAACTAGGTTGTTTGTGTAGTACTCTAACGAACTATTTTGTCTTTTTATTTTTCTTCGAAGTTTTGTTTTTTTTTTTTTGTTTTTACATCTTTTTATTAAATTAATTATGTTAAAAATAGGCCAATTGAGATATTTATGTGGTACTCAATTTGGCTTTTTTTTCTTTTTCACCTTTTTATATTTTTTTAATTAGATAAATTTTGTAATAAAATGTGTCGATTGATAAAGATACCAGAACAATCCGTATTCGACAAGTTCCAATCCATTCCGATATGATAGGAAGCGATTTTTTAAAATCGGATCAAGTTGGGATTGATCGAATTTTTTTATAAGATACAATATTAGTGCACATGTAAGATACTTTGTTTGACTCATTTCGGTATATATATAAAAGTATATACTTTTTATTAATTTAAGTTTATATTTATATAAATATATATATGTATTATATTAATAAAATTATTATTTAATACTTTAATTTAGAATTTAATGTTTTAAACTCAATGGAGTGTGCATGTGAGATTCTTTGTGAGTGCAACGTTTTTTTTTTTTTTTTTTCATTTTTGTTCTTTTTCACTTTTATGTTTTTTGGTTTTGGATTTTTTATTAGATATATTTTGTAAGAATAGAATGTCAATTTAAGTATCCACATGCCAATTTATTTTTTTATCTTTCTTCTTTTATTAATTAAATAAATTTTACAAAAAAAAATCAATGAATAGAGATGAAAAACAAAAAAAAATTTATTTACTCATAAGGACTATAGTTTTCTTAAAAAAAAAGTTGCCACCAGATGCCAATAAATTCTTGAAGAACCTGCATAAAGCTGCCTTCTACGATGATGCACACTTGCCACTGTGGGAAGTTTCAACTAGAGTGTTGGGGAATTTTACGACTTTCCAGCCTTATCTATTTTCCTCTTAAATTTCACCCCATAGATGCTATTTAAATCAGAGTTCACTTGGTATTTAAGTTGAGACTAAATTTAACAGTTCTTGTTCATGATTTATTCTTCCATTTAATAGTTCATCACTGTTGATACTTTTGGTTCAGAGTATTTTTAGGCTGAGCTCATCTTGTAAGCCTCCATTTAGTTGTGAGATTTACGCATAAATTGTCCCTTTGGTTTGTTTTGGCCTTGAAACCTTATTTCTACAACATTTATAGCATGTAAAGCAAGATTTTGCAGAAACAAGTCTGCTGTGGATTTCTTATATATATATATTTTGGAAAGCTATGAACATGTGAAAAGCATTGCAATTTGTGATTCTCTATGTCTCTTATGGCATTACCTGAGGCATAATGAAAAGCTTTCTTTTCAATTTGTAAGAGCCTACTGGCAGGCCAAAATATATCAGTCTAAGAATCAAAGCAAATAAGAGAACGCTATACAAGATGGCAAATATATGCTACTGTTATGGAGTCTGCAACAGCTTTGGTTCCTTTTTTTTCCACTTTAATGATAAAAATTTTTCTTCTTCAGGTTCTTGAGGCCATGAGTCAGTTGCAGCTTGGCATTGATGTTTGGGAGCGTGCATTCTGTCAAGCCTCTGAAGTTGTGATTGATTTAAATGGTGAAGCACTTGGTGCTGCCATTTGCTTATTATTTAAAGCTGCATCTCAGTGCCAGCATATCCCTCAAGCAGTGAGCATTAGAACATTGATATATGGGGATTTAATAACTGTTTGAATCACAGTTTTTCTTTATTTTCCCAACACAATCCTCTTTTAATGTGTTTACCTTTACTTTCTTTGTAGGTAAGTATCGTCCATCAAAGTTTAGAGAGCCAGGGAGCTGAGGTTTCACCTTGTGTGCTGGATCTTCTAAGAAAAACTTTGAATACTTCTGGTGACCTTGCGGTAACTATGTTACGAAAAATTGATTCTGTCTTTTCCCTTGATCAAAAACACTTGACAAATGGTATCAGGCCCTCTTCATCCGGAGAAAATGGACTAACGACCAAGAGTTTGCATACAGGAGTTCTCCATTTTTCTGATATATTTATGTTGTTAGAGATGCTGGCCATACCCTCTATTGCTGTGCAAACTACCCAGGTTTTTGAGAAAGGTATTGCAAATGGATTTATCACATATCATTTGGTGGAAATGGTGTTGGAGAAATGTGCTTCAGTATTGGGTGTCCATTTAGTTTCTTCTGAAGAACATCAGTCTGGAAACACTGAGACAGCAGGAAAAGGCAGTATTGGTTCTTTGTATACTGAAGAAGTTTTTAAATTGGTTTTTGTTCTTGCTGATAAATTGTTCCTATCTCGACACTCTCGAGTGCATGGGTTTCTGAGAAAGTTTTATTCAATACTATATAGACTGTTTGCTGGTGAGAATTATCAAAAGAAGATGCTGAGAAGATTGGTTGACCATGCCATCAGTGCTGCTAATAATTGCTCTGAAACTAGTCTGGATGTGTTGGTTTTCTTGGTTCAGAAGGAGTGTAAAGCAGCCAGACTAGTTCTAAGCATGATCAGAGATGATATTCAACTTGCCAATTCTGACCTTTCTGCACTTCAGAGTCAGTTACGTGCTCGAGAGGATGAATATAGCTGTGCTGAGGAAGAATTGCAAACTGAACTTTCAAAGATGAGGATAGAGAAATTAACTTTGTTAGAAAGGCTGCATGAGTCTGATGCTGTTATTCTTCATTATAAGGTACTTAACATATTTTGTTACCAATTTGGATGGTGAAACACATGTACTTGCTTTTTAACAGATTTTTTGTGCGACAGTCTGAAATGAGGCTTGAAATGGATCATTCCACTCGGGAAAAGAAGGAACTTTCTGAACAGTTAGAAGAAGTTAAACGTCAGTTTCAACATACTTGCTCCAAACAGAATGATAGATTAGAAAAGCTTTCCAATGAGAAAAAGGTTTATCAAGATCATCTTCGTGGCCTGGAGACGCAGCTTTCTCAGTTGAAGTCCCAGAAACACCAAGAATTGAAGGTAATCTTGTTTGCAAGTTTTGTTTTTCAACTGTTTTAGATTGTTTTCTAAGATAAAATCTTGAATAGATGATTTTGGCTGGAATCATTTGTTTTTTCTTTTTCTCTTTTTGAGGGATGAGACCGGCACCTATTAACACAAAAGCTTTTTTCCTATGTTGGTTATTGTTATACTCCGTACTGATCACTGCTTGAGTTGATCTTGCTAATATACCTCATTGACAGTCTGAACTGGTGTGTGAACTTTGAATTTAGAAGACAGGCTTCCAATTTGTGAGTTACTAAATGAATTCTCTCCAAGTAGTTCAATGATGATATCATAAAGATAACCAATAATATTTAAAAAATGGGAATGAAAAAAAGAAAATGCCAAGGTGAGGTGAGGTGGTGAAAGTGAAATATATTTGAAATAACAAATGTGGGCAAAAAGTATCTCTTAACTACCATTCTTTGACATGGGGTGAGAGAGTTAAGGGAGCTGATGCCTACCCTGGAGAGTCATTGAAAGTTGAAAGTAATGCAGAAGAATAAACTCTGGATCCCAGTTATGATAATGATTGTTACTGCAATAAATCTGAATCTTCCCATTTAGTTTAGTTTTTGCATCTAACCCCAATTGCCCTTGCTCAATTATCTTGGTTTTTTGAACGACTCTATTTACTGTAAAATGTTTCGATGTGTCCTCTGCCTTTAAGGAGTCATTGGTACTGAGTTAAACTTAAAATGATCCAGAAACTAGTTCAAGAGAAAAATGTTCTTGCTGAATGGGTGAGGACTGCAGAAGCTGAGAAGAAAAGGTTTGATGAAGAATTGAGAAGATGCACTTTACAGGTTGAAGCTCAAGAAGCTGTACAATGGTCACTTTTGGGTGAAGTCCAGAAGTTGAAACAAAACCTTGGGCAGATTAAAAGAGAAAAACAAGAGAAGGAAGAGGAGGTTGCACACTGCAAGACATACATTGATGAGCTGAAAGTGGAGTTGAATAATTGTCAGGTTTTCTTCTTACTTTCTCTTCATGAAACCTTTCTGATTTGCATCACCTATATGTAAACTGGTTTCTGCAGTTTCATGCTTAAATGTAATCTTCTTTCCACGATAATGAGTGGAAATGTGATTCTTTTAATGCCAGTATGTTAACTTAGAAGTTTGGATACCTGAGAAACTTTGCAGAGCTTCTTTGTTCAAGATTTCAGCAAACATCATCCCATTCTAATATTTTCTTGGGTTGAGTCATAGTTGGTATTATAGTTTGGCTTTCATCAAAAACAAAAAACAAACCGAACCAAATTAACCTCATGATTCAGTTTCATATTGATTTGGATAATTTGAAAAGTCAATGTGAATAAAGCTTAAGTTATTAGGTTTTCAAAAGAAAATCATCAGCCTTCAACCAAACCAAATGATATAAAAAATTTATGGTATATGTCAATTTCTAGATATTAATTGTCCTCTTTGGCCAACGACAAAGCTTATCCTTGGCTCCCTGCCTAAAAGCTAAAGATTTTGTTTCACAATGACGAGGAGATATGGCTATTGTTTTCTTTTGGTTAATCATCCTATCTATATATGTAGTTAAAGTTTTTCAGAGACATTCTATCTCATGGCCTTTAACAATTGATGTATTTTCTTTTATCACATCTATGCATTTCATATTGCTATTGTGCATTGATAGTCTTAAAAATCTCCGATTCTAGAAATCCCTTCTACATGATCTTTAGTTAATTCGTATCCTAGGTCCTTGACAATCCATTAACTGTATCTTAACAGTGTCTTGACACACTCTTCGTGGTCTCTGTTTTCTTCCTCCCCCCTCCATGTGTTCGTCTCCCCCCCCCCCCCCATCACTTTTTTGTCCATTACTTTTCAATACACGCTTAATCATCGCCATTCATTTGGACTTTGTATTCCGTTTTGTCTTTATATTCTTTATATAGAAGATTAATTAGGTTCCTGAAACTTGGTGTCTACGGATTTTCTGCAGCAATACATCCGATCCCTTCAGGTTTCACTTAAGGAGGAGTTGCTAAGACAAGCTCCTCTCTATGGATATGGCCTGGAAAATCTGTCAATGAAGGAACTAGAGATATTGTCAAGCATCCATGAAGATGGCCTGAGAAAGATCCATGCCATCCAACATCGTATAAGAAGTGATAGTGACAGCCTTCCCCCTTCTTCAAAACTTTGACGTTGATGTACGCTGCAGCCCCACCGCCCGTTGCTTCATTCAACCCAAAGAGATGTTGAGATGAACAACAATGGTATTAGTCAGTCATGTGCATTAACGGTAGATTGGGATCATATTTTTCTCTCTGGTTAGCCTCCTTTTGTTCTACCAGTCAAGCTCATTAATGCTTCAAGTTGCTTTTTTTTCTCATGTTGCTATATCCGTGCAGTTTACAATTGTAACTGACTAGCAGAACATTTTTTTTTTCTGTCAAAAAGTATGAAAATTTGAAAACCTAAGAAGACACTTTTTAAGGAAAGAGAATTAAACGAAAAGGTATCATTTGCTAACATCTTTCGTGATATACCACAAGTTGCATGCTTGGTTTCTTTTCTTTTTCTTTACAGTTATCACAAGGATCGGAATTCCGAACAAAGTGGAAGACTAGATACGGGCTTCAACACTGATTTTTAAGTTTCCAGGTATTTTACAGTTTCCAGGTATTTTACAAATTTATACCAGCATAAAAAGAGGAAAAGAGGATGCAGCAATAAATGAAAGAACCAACGCATTAAAGTCGGCAGCTTCGATTTACAAACCAATATCAATTATGTACAAATATTAACAGTAAGGCAATTTGACTGAATTATTAATTTAAACACAATTATGTGATAGGTTGATTTCCATAAGTACAGAATTTCTAGGGTGAAGAAAGGATTTGTGAAACTTACAGCAATCAGAAGATCAGTTGCCACCTGCCACATTGACGAAATCATCATCAGTGAGCCAATCATTTGACGACTCACCTTCAGAATCTTTATCTCGAGAATTTGATTTGCCTGCTTTCTGCAATCCACCACGAGTTTCTGGTCCCTTGTTCAGCTGAACCCAGTCATTGGAACCACTAGGTGAAGAAGTTTTGACATGCTCTGTCGATTTAGGCACTGATACTCTATTGGAAATATAATTATCATCATCTTCCAGATCACTGAACGAAACATCCTCTTCAGGTACCCGGTTTTTCTTGACACTCAAAGAACTTCCACTGGAAATATCTGCTTCTTCCAACCATTGCTCAGCCTTCTCTTCAACGGCAATCTCTGATCCTTCTACTGCATTTACAATTTCACTGAGCTTTTCCTCAGGGGAGACATTCTCTCGTTTTGTCTCACTAACCTTGCCACTTTCTTGAGATGCATCAGGACTACTACTTTCAATCTGTGCACTCTTATTGTTTTGCAGCTTCTGCAGAAGTGAATCTCTAGTTTCAACAACCTGCAACATAAGTAAACCTTCCATGAAAATGGTTTTGAATGCATAAAACAAAGCATGCTTTATTCCAGCCAGGCAGTGAACGTAAAACAGAAATTAGTTACAATGGAGCAAATAGAGAGAACACGTGCACATTGGAGATAAAAGAGAATATGCTACTGGAGAAAATGTTGTCAGAGTTGAATCTTAACCTCATTTATATATTTGCCAAATGCCCATAATGGATTTGATTATATTCTATTTTCTAGGTTCTGATGAATTTGCAACTGAGTAGTCCCTACTAACTTGGTAAAGACCAACTTAGTCATTGCCTTATGATTAAAGCAAGAGAGTAGAACCATCAATTTCTCGGGATTCACAACATTTATATACTAGAAAAGAAGTGAATTCCATACTACATTTAAAATCCTAACCTCAATGCTCTCCCCAAAGAAAAAATTCAGCAAGTCTAGGACCACTGCTTGTTTCACCACTAAGGTCCAGCCAAGAATACCTATTCTTTGTTCCGATCTTTCTACCAAATTTAACAGTCTCTCAGCTCTGATTGCTGATGCCTCAAACATTACAGGTTTTTCACTATGAGGTGGGGGAGAAACACAAAGAAGAACCACTTCTTAGGGGAATGACAAATAGAATGGTGTTCGGGAGGGTGTGATTTGCTGCAGAAGTTGCAGATCATAGATTATGCAGGTAGTGGGCCCATTTCATTGAGTTTTCAGCAGGACACTCTAGGAGTTGCAAAGATCATCATAAAGCTTTCAAAGTAGTAGCAAGCATATGTATAGACATTACTGACATATATACAGATAGAAAATAATTAGTACAAGAGGAACCCAATATTTAATGCATTTCACTATGTATAGAGGAATAATTAATTGATCAAACAACATCAGGCTATTAGCTCTTTCCGGCTACAAGAACAAGCAATATGTTTCTTAAATAAAGCAAACATGTAAGAAAAAGTAAAGTTGACTAATTAATAATGCAAAGGAATATAAAAAGTGTTTATAGTATTACTCCTACATCTTTTTTTAGCCAAATTTATTCCTACACCAAATGCATGTGTTTTGATGCAGAAAGGAAAATAAACGGCAAATAAGTACATTTATCGATGAATTAAGGGAAGCAGATGATGATATGGTCATTCTTGATCAGTTCATATTATTTCTACGCACTATTATGCATGCAAGTACAATTCATTAAAACAACAGAAAGATATTAATACTCTTGCCTCAGGGGTTGCGAGAAGCTCAAAATCATGGTCATTCAGTCTTGGAAGCAACAATATGAAATATATCATCCAAAATCTTTCATCTCCAATGTTATGCTGAAGGTTAACTTTAAGAGCTTCAAAACTTGGGACTAGATGTTCAATATTTTCAGCATGCTCTTTCTGAGTCTCAGACATTTTGAAATCTGCATTAATAAATCATTATTTTGTTAAGGTATAAAATTCCATTCATTTTCATGGAGAATTGGAAAAAGAGAAAAGAAGAAGCTAAAGGGTTAGTTCTCTTCAAGTGTCCTCATATAATATGCTACTATAACACTAAGTCTATGGTCCAAATTAGCGAACCTTAATCTCATGAGTGCCCAAAAATCCGAAATTCCCATTTGAAAGCCAAACATACACGAGCCAATTCAACCACCCAATAAGAGTCAATAACATTTGTCCACCCTTAAACAACTCAATCAGATATACATACACACTCACCATATACAAAGTTCACCTAATAACAATGCATATCAAAGCAAAAGTCATTGCTTGCCTATGCACATCTGCTCTAATGACATTTACTAATCCTACAGGATATTATAAGAGAAAAACCATATTAAGCAACACCACAAACAGTGCATAAAAATTCCCCTTTAATAATGGAAATCTCTAGGTCTAGTGTTCCACAATTTCACAAAAGTTTAGCTATTGTAAATGAAGGAGGAAGTGCCTCAAATAAAAGCAAATAAGCCTAATATTTTCAGCATTTGATCTTGCTTGCTACTATAACAGATAATATATATGATTTTGTTAATACTTTGGAGAATTAATTAAAATCCCTAAACTTAAAACCTAACTTTGGTGTTAATAGCATTTAAGGAAAAATGCAACAAGTTTGAAATAAGAATTTCAAAGCAAAAAAGTAATGATACCGTTATTTAGTGAGAGAGGAAAATCAATCCAGAACTCTGGGCGGTTGGAAATTTCTGTAACAAACTCAACCACCTCTTCCGTAATTCCAGGAACTCCATCATCGTCATCATCATCTTCATCTTCATCATGATCAGCATGATCATCATTATTTGGGAACTGCAAGAAACTCGAAGCGAATCTGGAGATCTCCGTCACCGCTTTGTTACTTGACAACAACGAAAGCCCGCTCTTGAAGCTTCCTCCGATCTCCGCCAAATCGTTGCGGATCCCCACTAGCGACGGCTGCTCTTCCTCTTCTTCTGCTTCTTCTTCTTCTTCTTGTTGCTGGGTGGCTATACCGGAAGGCGGGGAAGAGGGAGGTGGTGCTAAGAAGGCAGCGACGCCGCGTAGTTGGCGGCCGATAGTCTCCCCAAGAACGGAAAGATCTTCCTTGACGCCGCCGCTTCGGTTGGTGGGACTGTGATCGGGTGAAGACGTGGGCGAATCAGAAACGTCGGATTGGAGAGACTTCAACAGCCAAGACATTATGGAATATTAGTATTAGTATTAGTATTAGTATTATTTGTTTTTGGTTTTAGGTAAAACTTGAGAGAAAAAATAGCATGGAGTTGTTGTTCTTTCAGTCTTCACTTTTCTGTTGGCAATTTCTGCAAAATTTGTATTGTTCTGTAGAATAGTAAAATTAAAAAATATATATATTAAGAAGAGCTTGGCGGTGGCGACGGCTGTGATAGAGTTGGTTGGCTGAGGGGCTGTGATGTATTATCTAACCATTGTTGTTTGGTAAAAGTATATGGATTTGGATTTTGGAGAGGTTTTTAACTTGTTTCTTCTTTCGCTCTGCTTTTGGATATACTTAGGTCGCTCGTTTTAGCAGTTAACACCTGCTCCACACGTCACCGTTTCTCACCCTTCTAGACTTCCTTTTAGATTCTCTTTTTTCAAGAACTTCAAAACAAAATCCATGGCACCACTTCCAAATCGGCAAAATAAATAAATAAATAAAATAAAGTAATGCTATTTGTATTCTAAAATTTTTTAATATATCTCAAAAAATTAATTTTTAAAAAAATTATTTAAATATTCGTTAATTAATTTTTTTGGTCTTTCATACTCATTTTTGATAAATTTTTAAAAATTCATTTAGAAAACTTTTTTAATATATTAAAAATTTATTTTCAAAAACTTCTTTCTTATATCAAAAATTGTATTTCAAAAAAACATTATAATTATCTGAAAATACATTTTTAAAAAATATTATATCTAAAAATCAATTTTGTGAAGTAATTATTTACTTTTTTTATTATAATCTTTTTATTAATGTCTGGCATAAAATATTAGATATCTCTTATTACGATATCGAAATAATTTCCTAATAATTTTCCTTAAATATAATTTGTTTAAATCTTATAGTAAAAACTTTTAAACTTTCAATCGTACTTTCTATTGAATAATGTAGGCAACAAATTTTTCAATTCTAACAAATGTAGATTTGAGAGAAATTGCAAAGAAGAATTCATGCAAGTGATTATTGGACCATGTGCAATAAAACAGTTACGTTCTATTGCATATGATATAACAGTCTCTTCACAATTCTTCTCAAATATATATTTGTTATAATTATAAAAATATTGTAAATATTATTAAACAGACAATACCTATTGATTGAAAGATTAAATGTTCTTATTGTTGGATTTATTAGTTAATTGATAACATTATCAATATCAATATTTCATAAGGTGTCAAGTTATTATGTACCAAAAATTTATTTTCGAAAGTTTTTAAAAATTTCAAAAATAAATGTCTGAAAATTATTAAGAAATTTTGAAAATACACTTTTTAAAATTTTTAAAAATTTTTCAAAAATAAATATCTAAAAACCTTTAAAGGATTCCAAAAATAAATTTTCAAAAGTTTTTGAACAATTTCAAACATTCATTTTCGAAAATATTTAACAAAATGTTTGAATCACAATTTAAATCATACCTTAAAACTTAAAATTCTAAATCTTTTAAAACTAAAAACAAAACTAAACGAAAAAATTAAAAAAATATAATTTACATCTAATTCTAAATTATTTAACATCAAATGGATAATTGAGGCTTAATTTGGAGTTTAATTCTTTAAAGGATTAGGTTTTCGATTTAAAAAGATGAAGTGCAAGGAGATGAGGTGCTTGAATTTTTTTAATAAATTTATACTATAGATTTGAGATATGTCAAATAAAAAATTAGTTGTTAATAATAATGGGTACGAAGAAAACAACTTGATATCCAAATAATACCACTCTAAAAAAAAAACCAATTTAGAATTAAGAAGATTTAGCGTTGAAAACACCTTGACAATAATAAAATGCTGGACTTGGTTCCCGTGATAAAAATTAATAACTTCAAATACATTAAAAAAAAAAAAAAAAGGAAACACGTTGACAATTTGTCAACAATGAAAATATTGAATTGTTTGGTGATATATATTTTGATATACCATTTGTATAATTATTTGAAGTGGAGATGTGTGTCAATCGCTATCATTTTACATTCAAAAATGAATTCCAATCAATTTTAAATTAAAAAGACCTACATAACGTCCATTTCATCAATAATTAGTAGCCTGAATTTCAATATAAGCCTCCCTAAAAACTTTCTCATATTTTCCTTTCGCATTTAATGACCATTTCAAGACATTTTCTCCTTTTTCTTTTTGTTTCATTAATTTCAATTTCAATCCAATAAATATATGGCAATGCTGATTAATAACGATTTAAAAGCATTTGGTTAAAATTATAGTTATATGTTTTAAATTTTGGGTTTCCATTGTGAATATTCACCATGCTTTTGAGATATTGGGGAGGATGAGGGCAGAGAAACAATTCTCTCCAAAAATCAAATAAATTGGAAGTTCTTTGAAACTGAAGTTCTTGGACGTACGGTCCTTTGCTCTTTCTATGCCTTCAATTCAACACACGTAACACAAAGAGTGGACCACATTTGGTAGAATGGGATTGCCTACCTGCTCCTACAATAATAGATATCACAGTCGGTGGATATCAAGCTGCAGCTGTGATTTTTGTTGATGTTCAACACACAAAAAACAAAAGAAATTTTGGGAAGCAATTGACAAATCAGGCCATCTTCGGTTGATGGGGAGAGACAGCTGCCTTCACTGGCTTCATACATAAGTAAATGCAAATCAACATTTCCTTACCTCCCAAGTTACAGGGACTCATAAATGTTAGTACCTAAAAATTACTCTACCTTCTTTTGATGGTCATAGACAAACAAAAGCTCAACTAATTAACAACCAAGAGCCAGAAATTTCAAACTCGTGCCTCCTCATTATATAAGTGTGTGGGAACAGTTGAAAATATTACAAATCATTTCTATTATCTACACTTTTAAAATGAACAAACTGAAAAAGAAGGGATAGTCCTGAAAGAAAACAGGATGAAAGCTTCTGCTTCAGAATCGATGTGTCAACAGGTTTTAAAAAAAATTACCAGTCTACAAGCATTATTACCAACCTTCATCAATGAAAATAATCAATAACAAAATGCTCTCTCTCTCTCTCTCTCTCTCTCTCTCTCTCTCTCTCACTAATTATTTAACAAAGAATCTTAATCTAGCTAACTACTGCACAGTCGCAACATATGGTACACAATTTCCTATTCTTCAAGCATATTCCATGCTCAAAATTCACATGTTCTTCGTGCAATGCATCTATATAAGGCCTGTATATGGATTGTACGCTTGAACAGGCATACCTGAGCTGTAAGGGTGGACACTGGCTCCATAAGGATTGCCAAAAGGATTTGAAGGCTGCTGTTGTGGGTCCATCATCATCATCATTTGCTGCTGCTGTTGCTGCTGCAACATAAAAGCCTGCTGCTGATTGGCCATTGCCACCATCTGGATTGAGGGTGGAGCAGCAACCATGTTTGACGCATTAAAGGGGTCATGCACTGGTTGTTGCATCATAGCACCAGACATAGGAGCTGGTTCCCATGGATTATAGCTAACATTCTCGTTGCTTCTTCTGATTGCATCGTCATACAGGCTATCCAGTGTAAGCTTGTCAAGCCCTCCAGCCTTTCAATTCATACAATTAAAATAGCATCAGTGAGACATGCATGTATATGTTATGTTACCTATATATGAGGGAACACACATGTTTGTCATCCTTGACAAAGCCATTACAGTGTAATATGCGACAGCCTTGCAGTATAGCATGCAATTTGAAAGGTTCAAGAGGAGAGACAACGAAAGTAAAAGTACCAGTTTGCTAGCAGCAGTGGCACTGTCATTTGAGCTTGGAGCAGTGACAAGTGCCAATTCCCAGCCTGTAGTACCATTTGCTTGAACAGGAGCAGCAGCAGAAGTTGTTTGCTCAGCTGGAACACCACCATGGAAACACAAACACAATTTCCCAACAAGAAATAAATCATTGAAGCAGAGTTGATCCAATTTAAAACAACCCAAGAGAAATTGCTTAGGAACTTATAAATTCAAAGTTGTAAACAAATTTGAAACTATTCAAATTTGTTTTATGTGGTTAAAACCAGTAGAAAAGCGAGTTATTGAAGTTTCGTGCTGTCTATCATTGAATTACTGAAGAGGACTCAAACTCACCAACAGGAACAATAGCCAATGCCAAGGCATTCTTCTCATCTAATTCAGAAGCAACTGGGACAGGATCATTTAAACTCTAGCAACAAAAAGAAGGGCTCATAATGAAAAAGTCCAGGTTAACTGCTAAGTTCTCATATAACAATATAGTAGGTAACAAGAACAAAAAGAGACTACAAAATTACCAACAAATCAGGCGGTTCAACAATAGACTCTTCGACTTTCTCCACTTTTTCTGGTTCAGGTGGAGGAGGTGACGGTGATCGTTTCTTCTGCACCTCTTGGGTTTTCTTGTACTCGATGGCCAACACTTCCTTGGGTTTGTCAGCCTGCTTGTTCAAAAATAAAATGTGTGGCAATCATTGCAAACTTTTGTAAGATTAACAGAAAGTAGTAAAATTCAAAACAGGACTTTTATAAACAATTACAAGAACATATATCACAGAGATGGTAATAGAATATTATATATGAATAATAACTCAATGGATGGAACAACAATGAACATTGTGTTGATCCTTATACTTTATACTAATCTTAGTTCAACTAAATATAATTGTCTATATCTGCACAAATGGGTGAATCATCGTTCATTTAAAGAAAATGAGCAAACACCACTCTCTCAACTTACTTTGCCAACAAAAAACTTAAAACCATATTGCTATATTTTCCACAAGCCATTCAAATAAAACTATTTTTATAAAATTCATAAGCTAAAAAGGTTGAGGTTTACAAACATAAATACATACGTATATTATGTCTAATTGCATGCATGCAAAGGCATAGAAATATATACAAATTAAAATATCCTCCAGTTCAAACCAAAATCAATTTCCAAGAGAATTTCTAGACCTGATCTTTGCGCACTGTTGAAGCCCGAGGAGCTTCTCTTACATACTCTTCCATTGCTTGTAGAAATGATGCTGGGGGCTTCAACACAAATGCCAAAAGAAAATTAGTTTTAAAATAAAAAAACTCACGAGAATTCAAGGAAAAGCAAATCCATTTCAGAAAGCACCAAAGTTGGAGAATCCTAACCTGCTCTATCTTAATGAACCTTTCTCCACGCCCAACATCAAGACTTTTACATATTTCATAAAATTCTGAAAGCCTCTCTGCCTGCAAATACACAGTGTTAAATTCCCGCAGAGTTTGAAATCCTCTTCATTTACACTAGGAGACAATATTAGCAATACTGGAAAAGCAACTTACCTGTTGCCCAGATCTCCTGTATATATCCAGAGCCCTCATAGCATCAGGACGTTGCATCTCAAAGAACTGTCATTGTTCAGAGCATCATATATACATAATTCACTGAATAGAAAAGCATCTTATTTAGAAAGTTAATACCACAGCTTACCTTGTCTACGAGATTGACTGTACCATTACTTATAGCTTGATAAATTTTGACACTTTCAGAAGCAACCTGTTTGAAATGACAAAAGGACAAGACAAGAGAAGGTCATTTCCAATTAAACTCTACAAATAAGGAGAGCATAGACGGGTAGTATGTTTAGAAATTAACATACCATTGAAAGTGCCAACTGGATCACAAAATTATGAACAGCTGCACCTTGTGGCTGCACAGAAATTCCATTAATATTCCCACTAAAATAAAGGGAACAAAAAACGGAAGATTTTGTAGAACATGTGGTACAAAGAGATATACAACTCACACGACCAGAAACCATTTTCCATGCCATATCCATGTATATCATAACAAGAGGCATTAAATACTTACTTGACAGCCAAGAACACGAAACAGAAGCTGTTGCAAAGCTGGCAACTGCTCAAGTAACTCTGCAGTGTCCAAATCTTTGGTTCTCTGCAGGAAGATTTAAATCTATGAATTCTCCAGATAGTTCAGTTTCAATAAAACATAAAAAGCCTGTAATAGACATAGTTACTATTCTAACAATAGTAAGACAAAGACAAGGTCCTCGCAAGGTAGTTTTATTTATTTAAACTGAAAGCCCATGGTTATAGATGAGCATGCATGCTTCCAGGCACTAAAAACTATAGGACGGAGGTTTCAAAACCTAAAGCAGTTTTTGATAATGATGGTTTAAAAACCATATATGGTGCCATGAAATGAAGCATCACAAAAGTAGATTATTCAAGAGTTAACTTGGAGAGACATCACTAATTTATTTAAATGGAAAAATAGAGTTCTAACTATCAGAATTCTCCATGAGAGCAATTTCACACAACGAAAAATCCCAATCTTTGTCAATGAACTTGATTCATCAATTATCCTTCACCCTTACTTTCTTTCCCCTTTTTTTGGTATCATACAAAAATTTGAAACTCTATGCAAATGCCATACCAAATACTACCTATGATGTTGCAGAAAATTCATTAAAAAATGGTATCCAAATGCCTCTCAAATAAAATCTGAAAGAGAAAAAATCAAGAAGTGTAGATCAAGAATAAAGATTATGTATAAAACATAAGCTTCTTACTGGGCGGTCCGTCTCAATATCATATTTCAAGACACGGAAACATTCCAGCCTCTCCTCCAAGAACAAGGCATAAGTGCGAACCCAGGCAGAATAATCCCATGCTGCACAGCATATGGTTAAGGATTTCATAAACAAGGAACATCATTTTTTCTGAAAATTAATAGCATGGATTATCAGAAGATAAGATAAGGTACCATTTGGGCTGGAATCATCCTTGAAATGAGACATGTTAAGCATATGGCTTCTACTTCTGCCATAGTTAATGAGTTCTTCATGAAAAGTAGGGTCCACCTCTCTCAGAGCACGATGAATGACTATTAAAGTTTTCAATGCAACCTAAATGCCAAACAAACATTCAGTCAACCAAAATTTGGCAACACCCATTAATTACAGTATAATTGTTAATGTTTACAGATATTAGGTTCCCAATTAAACTAATAAATCAGCATTGAAGCTAAACAATTATTCTTCATATTCAAGTCACCATCAAGTTAACACAGAATCTATAAATCCATTAACAAATCATCGCTCTGATGTTCTCACTCTCAGTATTCACAATGATAACCTATCATAAATCCCAGTTTTGAAAGTACAACTCCCATAATAAAAGATGTAGCTGAAACTTGCAAATGAAATAATCTTAATTACAGTATATTTGTAATCTGGCATACTATAGAACCAAAATTTTCACTTGTCAGTATTTTCTTCTTTAAAATAGTAAAGGCATTGACCATGGAAAACATATTAAAAAAATAAAAGACTATGAACTGTCAAAGAAGGAACTATTCAAACTAAAATCCATCTTAATATAGATTCTATCAGAATTAGATTTAATAGTCTATAAGTTAGGAAACATGCAGAAGATGATATATTTCTAATCAAGCACAAAATCTACTCAGATTCTTGAGAACTAAAAGCTTCAGTTGTCTTCAGTTTCTTTTCAGCATAAGTAAAATTTCGCATTTAAAATCTTATGCGTTATAACATGATGAAAAAGATAATGAATCAGACACAGAGTCTCGGTTCCTATCATTTGTTCAATAATGACAGTCATAGATACTTTTAAAGATTTTTTAAAGCTTACAGAAAATATTAATATATATATATATAACAAAAACCCAAGCCGTTAATCAATAATTTCTCTGTGAAAGTATAGCCAGAATTTTGTTTTTGCAGTAACACATTTAACTCATTGCACATCCCTATCTTCAGTAATCCCATCACAATATGTTATTAGCAATTTTAACATACCGCCCAATTATGTGTCCTTGATAACCTCCTTGCAAGAGCATGGATGCAATAGGCAACATCAGCCCGAGGCCTAGTTGCTGAAATGGCAGCGAAAATTGCTGTGGAAAGGGTAAAAAACAGGTCTTATATATAACTCATCCATAAAGTGCTCTCCCTATGGGCAGATCAAATCTCAAAATAAATACTACTATTACCATCTACCTTGGGAGGGAATAAAAACTTAGAAAAGACAATCCAGTACACACCTCTAATGTGTTTTTCCTTTGCAGGACGTTCGTAATGATTTGTGGCCTTGACTATAGCAATATCCAATTCCTGCAAAATACAAAAATGCATAAAAAATAAGGATCATCAACATCCATATTTGATATAACCATCTCGATGGTTATTATTATACACAGATAAATCCACCTTATAATCACTATTGACTTTAGCCAATGAAACGGTGGTGGTATCTTTGATGGCTCCAAGTGCTTTCCTCAAGCTCTTCTGCGTGCCCCCGCCAGACATTCTCTCTCCCTCTCAATCACAAAATTCTAAACAAAAAACATCATTTAAACAACATTACTCTCCTTTATATAAACTTCAATTTTCCTAGAACTATACAACAAAATTCATCTTTGAACATCAAAGATAAATATTACTTCCCTGAACTCATTAAAAACAAAATCCTTAACCTCAAATCTTGAAGTTTGCAGAAAACCAATTAAGATCTAATTAAACAATAATTCATAATTACCTACATTAATCCAATAAGCACTCTTAACTCTCGTTAGCACATTTGAGAATTCCCATCAGAAACAAACAGACACACAAACTCAACGCAGAAGAAAACGGCAGTAATCAAAATGAAAATTAAGAAATTTAAACAAATTCCTGCAAAATTTCCTTTTGATGCCATGAAATGAAACCATTTGCACAATAAAAACACACAATCAAAACCAAACTAAAGATTAAAATAACAAAGAAAGCAAAAGAAGAAACCCCATCAAAACGAAAATGAAGCCGAAAAACTTCAAACTTCAATCAAACAAAAAAACCCACCTTTGACTTGCCACCTAATAGAAAAAAAGATCTAACCAAATAAAAATGAAAAAAAAAATCAACAATCCTAGAATTATGTTAATCTTCAATATGGATATTGAAGAAATGAGAAATCAAACAGCTTAAAAACGTTTTACCTGATGCTGAATCAGAGAGAGAGAGAAATTGGTCGGTGGAGTTATGGTCTTTTAGAGAGAGCAAAGAAAAGTCCAACAAATAATGAGCTTTTTGAGTTCTGGTGTGGGTTGTTGGGGGCAGTCGGCGACGCTATTTTTTTTCCTTTTTAATTTTTTTTTTATTTTATATTTATTTTTGTAAATTGCAAATATTTAAATCTTTTTTTTTTCTTCTAGATTTTGAGTTTCTCTCTTTCTATTTGTTAGAATACGGCCTTGTAAGAACTTGTACTGTGAATTTGGTGAGCCAAATAATGAGGGATTTTGTTACTCTGCGTTCGCTCTCATTCTCATGTGCTGCGCCTGTTTCCCATTTTTGTTTCATTTTCTTGTAATGATTGCAACAATTATTCTTAGTTTTAATATATTTTATCATCCCTTTGGAATTATATTTATAATTTGAACTCAAACTCTTACCTTACTTATCAAGTTAAATCTAAAAAAAAAACTTATATTATTTTAATTTAAATATTTTAATCAAAATTTTTTAATTTTGATTTTAAATATTTGATTAAATTAAATTTTAACAAATGTATATGTGAAAACTCCTTATAAAATTAAATTGTTTTGACATTTATATTAATCATAAAGGTTTTAAAAAACTTTAATATCACAAAAAATTAAATAAACAATTTTGAATTTATCTTTAATGGAATAATAATCTTGAGAAATCAAATATATTAAATAGCTTTATCTAGTGAGATTAACATAGTTATTTTATCAAAACATTTTACTCCATAATATATTTATATATCCTTACATAAAAAGAAGTTTGATTCAAGTGGCTTTCTCTTAAAATTAAAAAAATAATAATAATTGACTTAGAATAAGCATTAAAGGTGGTTTGCTTGTGGTGGTGGTGGTGGTAAAAAGATGGATTTTTTTTTTGCAAAAAAAATGGATTTTCTTTCCTTATCAACAAAAAAAATATCTTTATGACAAATATTTTGAGATAAAATCATAAATATATTTTTAAGATTGTCAAAAAATGAGATTTAAAAAATTTTTGGAGATATCAATAATTGTATTATAAAAAATAAAAATATTGAATATAGATTTTTTATTGAGATTCTTGTTTCCTAAGGATGATGGGAAAAAAATGATGTAAAATCCACTAAATACTTTTCTTTCTTTAGTATGTAGTGGATTTTTGTTGGTGGATTTCTTTTATGACCAAAGGAGAGTGTGGTGAGCCATAGTTGTGTTTTAGAGCAAGAAGTCGCTTTGAAGCAAGCAAAACTAATGCTGCCAGCTTGGTGAAAGACACCAGTTTTGAAATTTTAATCTAAAATTATACCCTTGCTTTTTTATGTTATTTGCAAAATTGACCTTATTATTTTCAGCTAAACTTTTAGTTCAAGATGATTGGACCCACCTTACTCATGCACGTGTTTAGTTCAAGATGAAAGATGTGAACGCTAATTGAGAACCGGGTTCGAAAAAATTAAAATATAAAAAGATATGCATGTTTATTAGATTTTTAGAGATGGTGAATTTGATAATATTTAAAATTATAATTTTTTGGTTAAATGAATTAATTAGATAAATATTGAAGATTAATCATAGGTTTAAAATTAAAAAAAAATGTTAACTTTCAACTTTGAAACAATAATAAAACTATTTGTTTTCAATTGCTTTATTTTTTTTTGTCTTAAATTTAGCTTTTAAGAAAAAATCTATTAAATATTTTTTTAGTAGGAATCTATTTACATTTGTACAAGTTTTACTCTTTTTTATCATTAAATCTAAATTAAATTTACAATTAATTTAGATTAAAATAATATTTTTAATTTTAATAATATTGATCTAAAAATTTTAAAAAAATAAAACTTACCCAAATATAAATGAATCTCTCGTATTCTTTCTTTTGTATTGAAATTTAAAAAAAAAAATTAGGATAGAGTTTATCTTTTTTATATTAGTATTTGTTCTACACGCAAATATTTATATATTTTAATAACTATTATATAGATAAAATATAGTTACAATTTAGAATATAATGAACAACAAATTATTGGGAAAAAAAGAATAACAAATTCTGAATCAAGTAAATATTTTTTTAATTAAAGTGATAAATATTTATTTTTTTCTCTTCATTTATTAACCTTACCCATACTTTTATCACGTTTTTATTAAGTCCTAATTATAAAAGTAATGACTAATATTCTCACACACAACAAAAAACGTAAAATCATCAACAAATATTATTTCTTCATAATTTTGATAATAAACTAACCTCTAGAATTAGAGGACATATTGAAAAAAAAATTCAATCTTCCCTTTTAATCATTTTCACAATTAAAAGTTTACTTTGTAACATGATAAAAAAAATTATCGTCATATTTACTTGCATTTTATAATTAAATTTTTAAAAATTTGATCATAAAATCAAATTACAATAGAATAAAATTTTATCTCACATTACCAACTAAATTTTATACACAAAGATTCTGCGCCTTATTTCATCCCTTGCAATAAATGAATAAAATTTTTATAAAAGGTCTTGAAATACTTGATTTGGAACATTTATCCAATCCAAATTAAAAGAATTGATTATACTTTTATAATTGTAGAGCACAAGCTTTATCTTTATTTAAAAAAATATTATTCTTTATAAGATTTTGAGTAAAACATGCTTCAATTTCAACCTACTTGTAGTTAGAGCAACATTTCTCTGAATAGTACAATGAAAATAAATATTAATCTTTTTCCCAAAAAAGGGCATGATAAACGAAAACAAATTACCTATAGAATTAATATTAAGAAATAAGAATTGCCATAAATGAGAAAATTAAAACCAATTATTCGGTGTCGTGAGCTGGAAATTAAAGCAGATGCCACGTGGAAACCAGAGAGAATTCTTAAAAGTAGCTGTTAATCAAAAGACGATCGTATCCTCCACTTCCAAGACAAGAAGAAAACAAAGGAATAAACTGGGAAAGAATCCCAGAAATTCGGCAAAATTGAAGGGCAAGATTTGTCTTTTAGAAAATTGTCCTGATTGTAATAAACAAAAACAAAAAACAGAGTGCACCCCACTGACAACCTGGGTCCTGGAGTTCAACTTCCTCTTCATGTCACAACGGATACTGGTTGGGTGGGCTCCACAAAAATTTCCCTAAAATTTCCACCTTTCGAATCTAAATTTCCAAACCGTCCGATTACTATTTTAGGACTTAAAAGGGATTTGTTTTGTTAATTGGGAGTTCCGGCATCTGCTGGACAAAACTGATCGTATATTTGCATTTCTTTAGATGAAAGAAATGAAATTTTGTCCACAAAGAATCCAATTTGCAAGAGATGCATTCTTTTACAAAAATAAAATAGAAGCTCAAAGAATTTCTTTTATACCAATTATTAGAGAACATGTACATCAAATCATGATTCATAGATTTCAAGCTTAGATCTCACACTTAAAATTTTAAGTTACTATAGTTTTTAATTAATTTTAAAATTTTAAATATGTAATTTATTTGTTATATAAAATTAAATTTTTAACACTTAAATTAACAATATAAAAATCATATCAAAGTGTGTCAAATGTAACAAATTATTCACTTATATATATAAATATAAAATACATCTATAATAAAATTTTTAAATTTTACAAGTAAAATTAGAAGAGTTATATAAAAATATATATATATTTATATAATCATAGAAGGGTTATGGAAACGACCTTTCTCTAAGTATTTTTTATTCCATTGGTCTGTCAAAGTGTCATAAATGACAAATCCCCTGCATTTTTGAACTAAAGGAGCAATGAAGTACCAACATGCCGACAAGAATATAATATTGTGAATCCTGATCATCCACCAAATATGAATATCAGCCGGTCCGCTCAACACATCACTTACTTTCCGTCAGAATTATTGAGCACTATGGGCCTTAATAGCAACCTTTTTGATGCAATTTGCTTACTAGATAGAAGAATAGCAAGCGTTAAGAAAAACAAATTGAAAAAGAGACTTAAAAAATGGGTTGGGAAGCCATATTTGATGACAGAAGTCAAATAACTTTGAATCGAAGAAATCATTAGTGCTGAATTTGACAGAAAAGCGGAAAATAAATAAAATGTTGGTTTGAGTTGAAAATACCATTCCTTTCATGATATGGACGGTTGCCCAACTTTCCGACTACATGCATTTATTTTCCTTCATTGTAATGCACAATCCTCATTTTGTTTTCAGATACATCCCTTTGTAATATACAAAATCAGAGGAAAAGAAAGGATGGGTGGGTAGTTATTATTATTTTTTTTTTTGCTCTTATTTTCCAATTATAATACTATTATTATAACAAACAATTAAGAACACTGATTTAAAACATGCTAATATTACAATTGCTACACAGGACTCAAATGCCTCTTAAGCTTGTATAAATGTTTCAAAATTGGTAGAGATCATCAAAAGAAACCTTCAAGATCTCCTGACAACAGCAGTGGCAAAGAATGGATGATGGTTGAACTCAAAAGAAACCTTAAGTGATGGGTCAAGAGCTCCTAACCGACAAATGAGATTTAGAGCAACGCTGTTGTGCTCTGCAACCAGCTCTAGTCTTCGGAGTTCAGCCAATCTGTCTGGATCATTGGAAAAACTATTCTTGACCTCCTTTGCAATCCGCTGAGCATCCTTGAAGTAATTATACATAACTAGTGTCTGGATAGAAAGTAACTCAGTTATGTTTTGAATTAGAGAAGATTTGAAATCCAATGCATGAAATATAAGGGGAAACAGAACCACGGGTGGTTGGGGGTTTGGGGGGAGTGTTGATGGGGCAGAGATCTTTATCAAATACTCACAGAAAAGCGAGCATGAGTTGTTGATTCCTTGAATGATGGGTACGAATTGTGATCAGGAATGCAAGCTCTTTGTAAAAGCTCAAAATGCTGAAAGAATTTCTGGATAGAAGTTAACATGTGAGAACATAAGATGATGCAGTTAGCGAAAATAGCTACAAGAGTATGATAGAACACATTCTCAAGGTAATAAGCTGAAACCATTCTAATTCAAAGTCTTCTAGAAAAATATATGGCTTAAGGCAGTTAATCAGTCCAAAACTGAAATATCAGGTAATGCCCACATGGTTTACATCTAATAATCTTTTTTAATATATGTGCATGCATATGTGTGCGAGCACCCATGCATGTGTGCATTTAGGGAGGAAACTTGATTCTTCACCTCCTGCTCGGTATTAAAGGGCCTTGGACTCTGTAAGATCATGACTTCATTCCTCAAAGCAGCAAGCATCTGGAAAGAGACCGAACAGATTAATAGAGAGCATGAGTGGACAATATTTAAGCAAAACATTCAAATGAGAGATGGGAAGCATCTGCTGGTTATATATACATGTTCAAGACAATTTTAAATTAAACTAATTTCTTTTCAAAGATCTGTAGTTTAGACCAAAATGACAATAATACAAAACACAGGTCTAGACAGGAAAATTGTTTCCACTCACAAGTCACAATCAGGGTAAAGCATGGAAATTAAATAAAAAAAGCACTGTTACCATTGTAAGTCCTTCAGCAAGACATATATAGCATTGAAGGAACAAGACCACTGGTGGTATCCGAGATTCCCTAGCCAAATCCTTAGGAGAGTCCCTTCTCTTCTTTCCCTTTCTTTTACCTGATCATATACATAAAATCAATTTATAAGCTTGGTCATTGCTTGAGATACAGAAACAAAGATATGCAGATCATAGAAAGAAAAAAAAAAAAACCATATAACCAGATTTCAGACTTATCAATCGATATATATATTTATATATACATGAGAAAATTGAACAAATCTACATGTGCCTTATAGACAATCGCAAAGCAAAGAAAGGGTACCAAGGAACAGTTACCAGTGTCATAGCTGACAGACATCTTAAGATGAGTTTTCTCTGCAAGCTTGCTTAAGACAGCATATGAATACCAATATACCATGCAGTATTCGCTGGCAGAATAGAGTTCCAATTCAAAACCCAACATGAGAAATCGACAAGCGATCCAGTACGTTTGCTCTTCCACCCAAATGAGGATATGTTGGAATATTTTCATGCACATATTCTGGAAAACCAAGTAAATTTTTGTCAAACTTTTGGTGTTATGTGGAAAATAGAAGCTTGAGGAGGTGACAGAAGGAAATTGATAATAAGTGTCCCACTAATAATCCAATGGCAACGTGGAACAGACGAACGCAAATAATGAAACTCAAAACGATTGATGTCTTATATTCCTTTGTCCTTGCAGGCAAATCTGCTCCTGCTTCCTTATGCCAAGCAGAGATTATTCATGCTAAGACTTTTGCTCACACTGAAAAAATTAATGGTTAATTTATTTGTCTTTTTGAATAATAAAATTTAAAAAAGAGGCCTTTCTTTAACAATCCTTAACAAAGGAGTGTTTCTTAAACAATACTTCTTCTCAGATATTAAGTTTCAAATACTAAATTTAGGTTCATTATTGTTATTAACCTTCAACTCTTGCTCCAGAAATCAAAGAAAAAAAAATATATGTTGATGTAAAGCCTACAATCTATTTCATTGTAGAAGTTCTAAAGCATGAACTTTGCTAAAATTTACCCCCACACTAATCAAGACCAACCTATCAACTTAACAAATATTAAGGGTGTATTTATCTGTCTTCTTTGACTAGAGAAATTTTTAAAAAGAGGTCTTTCTCTTAGAATACTTTTAAAAAGAGTGTTTCTTAAATAATACTTCTTCCCAGATATTAAGTTTCAAATATTAAATTTAGGTTCATTATTGTTATCAACCTTCAACTCTTGCTCAAGAAATCAAAGAAAAAGAAAATGTTGATGAAAAGCCTACAATTTATTTCATTGTGGAAGTTCTTAACTTTGCTAAATGTTACCCCCACTTATAATCGAGACCAAACTATCAACTTAACATATCTATTCTCTGTGTGCAAGACCTGCTTAGTGACAAAGATGTTGATTAATCATGCTTAGTGGCTCTTTTACGTTGTAATTTCATGGATGTTAAGCTTTTCCTAGAGAAATACAAAATTGTTGTTAATGGTTGCATTTTCTCTCACTAAAATATCTCAAAGTAGTTACCCTGGACGTCCCAATTTTTTAAACCAAGTACTACATTAGAGTCATATATCAAATCTGTAAGACAACTCAGTGCTACACTTGTAGCCAAATTTCACATTCAATTACAATTTTTTAGGGATTATCTCCAGCAAAGGTCCTTCAAGGTTTAAGAGATTACTTTGCAGAAAGAAGACTTACAGAAAAGTGACAATTCTAATGCATTAGAATGCATTAATTTTACTATTTATTTGATAACTAGTGGTTATGTTAATCATAAATCATAAAAAAGAAAGAAAGAAAAGAAAGAGCAACACACCTCATCATTTGAACTGCTTAAGACTTCTCCAAACTCGTTTCCGAAAGCAAGCTCAAGCTGTTAAACAAAAGACACGACAAAGTAAGAAAGTCCAGTTTAAAAGCAATTGAGCCATGTGGCTCATCAAGTCAACAAAACAGCTAGAATTACTCAGTAAGTTACTAAAGTTTTACATAGCCGAAAGTCTGCAGGCATATGGCAGGGTAAGATACCACAGAAAAAAAAAAAGAATTCCTTTTATCATGTTTTCTTATTTCCTGAGTGGAAGAGAAGGTAAAAAAATAGTGCTCTTGAAGATGCATTACTACTTTTAAAAAAATTCAACAATTAAAAGGAAAAAAGAAAAAACTTGAGGAAATTATGTTTGCAAATAATGCAACATTTAGGAATCTGGAGCTTAGCCCAAATGGTTCATCCACCTCTCATAGGAGGTGGATTCCCACAATGTTGGAATTTGATCCTAGCATTGCAAATTCCCTTTTCTAATTCCTCCTAAGTTTTGGCCTCTTTTGTACAAAATAAATAAATAATGCAACATTCGGGACCACTTAGCCCTTAATTATGCCACTGGTTAAGATAGGAGGCATCCAATGTTAAAGTCACAAGAAATACAAATAGCAAAAGAAATTAGGTTCAAGAAATTTAAAACATAATTAAACAGATAGGCTAAAATGTACCAAAGAAGACCAGATAGTAAGAGAAGACAGAGCAACAATGCAATGATTTGCATTTGGAACTCTGACATGGTACAAACCTGTACATAGATAACACGCCAATCTTGCAAAATTTTCCCAAGCTTACGCCTCTGCCAGGCTGCATTTGTACAAAGTATTTTGAGCAAATTCATTACCAACTGCAATCAATAACACATTGAACATATGTTAGATGAAAGCACCTTGAGCAAGAGACAAAAGAATATGAAAAGCTGTTATTCAGGCTTTACAGCAGGATATCAAAAGAATCCTATCTGCATGAAAATTAATCCAGGTTAAGATAACTATATCCACATTTTCCAAAGCTTGGTAGAAATTTCACATATTTTAACATTCAAACTTAGCACTGTAATCAAGACAGTAGCCTGATACTTCTAACTCCAAAAAAGAGAGATACATGAACGTATAGACCATCTCAAAAAGATCAATTTCATAGAGAATATTATTATAAAAATGTACCAGAAAACAACAGTGAAATGTATAGCATAAATGATTATTGTCATAACCTGTCCTAGTTGCACAATATATTCATTCTTCTCAATATCATGGTTTTTGGTGGCTTCCGGCAATGCAGCAGCTTTAGTTATCACTGCAAAGATAGGATCGCGTCCATAGAGTTTCCCATCTTGAACCAGTAGAAGCTGTTCAACAATAAGATATGATGTTAAAAACCAAATAGATTGAATTGAGCAAGAAACAAGATTATACCAACATTGAATTCCAAACTGTTTATTCTCAATTTTTGACTGTTAACCAGTAATAAGTACAAAATATCGTTTCTGAAATGAGTAGTCAAACATCTATAAATCTATGTTCTTCAAAAACTGGGGGATAAAACACCACAGTACATTAGTCAAATTAATTTCTTTATGCGCTGGACTTATGTCTTAGTCTTTGTTCAGCTGTCTACTCTCAAGTGCAGAGAAAATGCTTAGTGAAACTCCCTTGTTTAGATAAGTGATGCCTTATGTTAAAATATTTACAGAGACATCCTCATTACATGAAGGAAAAAAGGGAAATAATGAACCTCAAGAAGGTAACTAACTCCACAATCAAGAAGCATCATGTGTATATTTGACTACCGCAGCTCATGGGATAAATATTGCTGCATGTCCTGAAGAACATATCTTTCTTTTCAGTCTGCTTTATTAGTACTAAATAAATTCATTAAAACAGATGAAGAAACACCTGCATGAAACTTTTCCCAATAAACTGGCAGAAGCCTACATGTCTTAATAAAGAGTACCATAATGAGTCAGATTAAAAGACAAGGACGGTTGTCAAATCACAAAAAGAAAGAAGGCTAGAAAGTCAACCTGCAGATGAGATCGTGCCACTAAATCAGGTTGAGACTTCTGGAACTGAACCACAAAACGCAGAAGATTTTCTAATTGAGCATCCAATGAGTAAGAGCACATAACATCTAGATCATGAAGAAGTTTTACAAAATATTCAACAGCCTGCCAAAGCACCAAGAGGGAAAATATTACAATAATGAAAGTAGATTTAAAGAAATTAAAATTAAATAAAACAAATTCTAACCATTTTCCAACTAAGAATTTTAATTGCACGTGGTGGTGTGGGGCAGATAGTCTACTGTTTAATGTAGCATCAAACCCAATTGGTTCACAACCAGAAGCAGTTGTTTTGTCATCTATATCATCTTTAGAAGATTCACCAGAACAAGACCTTAGAAACTCTGCTGATTTAAGAATGGACTCTAGCTCCGATATGCAAGAAGCTATATGCTTTCTCGCCAACTCCAAACCTCTCCCCTGGGGCCGTTTCATACACGTAAGAACGTGGAAAAAGTGCTGAAAGCAAAAGAAAAGCCAGCAAAAATTATATTACAATCACGCATATGTTTGTTAGAAAGGGTAAGATAGATAAGAATGCCAAAGAGAAAATAATAGTTGCTAGAAGAAAGCACCAAATAGAGTGTTGCCGATCTAAATTTAAAAAACAATGTGCATAACTATTCCATATTTGATGACGGATCCCCTCAATATATTGTCCTATATTAATAACTGTCATCTTCAAATTAGGGAAAAAAAGTAGTTTATTGAAATTCGCCAGTTGCATGCAATCAACAATCTAAGCTTTGACAATCGAGCAAAAAGTCGATTACTGGAAAGGAGATCCATTAAAGAAATAAACTAAAGGCCTGCAAATCTTCTAAACAAAAGCACAAACACAGATGGACAGTTTGTCTTATTCACAGATATTGTAAAACAGTAACACAGCTCAAAACCTTACGAAAACGTAAGCGACACAATAAAGCTTTGCAGAATCCTTCTTCCAGATTGGGATTGCACTGTAATGGCTCTAAATCTGCATCAATATAGCCACTTAAATCATACAAAACTATTATTTTAATTATTTCTAAAGAAATAATTCATAATAGAAGTTGACAGTGAGTGATGGTAAGAAACAAGTAAAATGCACAACTGAGAAGAAACAGTTACAAGGCAATTCTTTTGAACAGTAGCCCATTAATGCTAGAATGCATAGATAATACATAAATCTTTCTATTTTGAATCCAAAAGAGAAAAGCTGAAGTCCAGTCCAATCTTTAGATTCCAGAGCCTACCTTTAAGATGACATCTTAACCTGGACAACAAATTTTACCATTTCTCTTGTGAATCTTTTCAAATATTCCTCTCATTAGAATATAAGATTTACATTAATAAACAGTTCGATAATCGAACTCTTTGTAATTCAGATCTAGCTGACTTCTCTAAGAAATATTGCAATAAACTCTTTGTAATTCAGATCTAGCTGACTTCTCCAAGAAATAATCATCCTGCCTCTAAGCAGATGCATATCAATTGCAAGAAAGAGTTAAGAGTAATGCTGACGGAAGCAAATTAGGACCAAGGTGATGATGATTTACAATGTAATTTTCCAGATATTAGGCTTCCCTCAGTAAAGAAATAAAGAAAAGCTTAGGCAAGTGATGAGATAACTACCCTCAGATAACCTTCTTTTTGAAGGTGTAGCTTTACATGCACGCAATTGGCGAGATATCGTCTCTTCGACAGCATTCAACATTGACAAGCACTTCTCATCTCCATCCCCATTTAAAGGAAGACCATATGCCATTGTAAAAAGATCCTCCTCCTGTCAAATGAAAATGTTCACAACTGACCATGTATTTTTAAGGACAATACATGAACTACAACCAATGAACAATGACTGTGAATGCATAAAAACTCTTCTGCCACCAGAATATGAGATTATATTTTGAAACAAAGAGAAATTTTACAAGTACCCTCAACTAATTCTCATCTACCCAGCCCCACGCTTTTCTTCACACCACCAAATTCTTTTTTTTTGTTGGGGAGGATATGAGGACCAATTATTTTGTTAAATAAAATTTGTTTAGTCTGATCCCTTCAATATCAGAACTAGAAGAAAACTTCTAACACTTTTTAATATTAATCTTAAGTTTAACACAATTTATGGATACATCATCCACAGTGATTTTGCTTCAGAATAATGTGAGAAACTGAAACATATGAAAATTTTCCTTTAAAATGAAAAGAGGCAAAAAAAGTTGTTGGAATACTTTACTTCATGTGTACGTGCATCTGAAACAACTGACAGAACTGCCTTGCAAGTTGTTCGTATAACTCTGCAATAAGAATGCAATAAGGCATGTGAAGCTGTCCTATCAAGCCTCAGAAGATAGATGCATGAAAAGACAGTTTGCGCCAAGGAATGACCCTTATGCCATGCTGCCTGCCACAAAAGACTACAATTTAGATAAAAGAAGAGAAACATATCAAGTAGGGAGCTATTTGGTATAGACACAGACACAAAATACATTACACACACAACAAATACATACACAGAATAAGTATAAATACAAAATCATTACAGTTAACTTTTCATCTATTATCTTCCTTTCAGGATAAGCTTAAACACACACAATGAATGAGGATAGAAATCTCATTCATGTATAAGATGCTTATTTGGGAAGTATCTAGGACATTTTGAAATGGGTGAGACAAATCCCAGACAAACCAAAACAGTCATACATATGCTAAATTTTGCAACAATAAATTGAACAGAGAATGAAAAAGCTAATACCTCACAAGCTAGAAGATGATCCATGATATCAATAGTGCATTGGACATCAATAGTGCTGTCAAGGCTAATAGGAACAGAAGCAGCACCATTCTCGATGGCCTCATCAATAGAATAGTATCCACAAACAATACCTGAATCCATCTTCGGATCCATTATCTAATTAAAAAAAAAAAAACTTGTCAATGAAGGCAAAAAAACTTTATACTTAAACCAGAAAGAAAAAAAAAAAAAGAAGATAGGAAACATATATAAGGAAGTACTTAACATAACTAAACAAGAAAAACTAAGTCATTAAAATACATTTTAAATGGGAGTATTTCTTATTTATGTCTGATTTATGAAAGTAACGAGCTCACTTGAGGTTCCAGTATAGGATCAAGCATGTAAGTGACCATTGCAACACACCCTCATTTGGAAACATGTTGATAGAAAGTATTCCCACAAGGAACAATCAAAGCAGAAATGACAACAAAAATATCACAAGTATCATCTTTAAGTAAGAAAATGATAACTTCCAACCCACTAAAAAAATTAGAAAGGAAATTACATTAAGATTGATCAAGAATCAACATGTAGCAATACCTCTAAAGCAGACATGGCAGCAAAAAGATTGAAATTATCCCCATGAATGAGCTCTCCATCTCCAAGACCTGTGATCACCAAATATTGCAGAAGAGCTAAGTGGTAACGCGAAACCCAGAAAAGGAAATTAAAACAATATGTAATTATCACTTGAAAACACCCACATTTCCACTCCATATTTTGCATATGACCACGGCAATGATAAGATTTATGGTTAATAAAAAACTTACGACAATAAAAGATTTTCACTTAATAATAATTTTCTTGCATTATGTGATCACAGAAGAAAATTTTCAAGGAAAAAGCCTTAACTTTCATAATGCCAATACCTTTCCTTTTCCCTATCTATCATCTCTACTACCAAAAGCAATAACTTTCCACCCTTCAGTTACTGAGGAAACCAAAAAAAAGGAAAAAAAAAATGCTTTACTCATATAAATAAACCCTAGTGGTTAGCGATTCACTGTTAGATCTCCAATTAAAAAAACGTAGCACAAAATAACAAATATAAAACAAAAAGAAAAAGATAACAAAAAATTTTCTTTTTCTCTTTTTTCTCATCAACCAAACGGAGGTTTAAGGAGGGGATAAAAGACGTAAAGAGGGAGGAGGAGATTGAACCTCTACAGGCGGCTAGAAGGAGAGGCGAAGCGTCGGCCCAGACAGTGTTGTCGGTGGAAGGAATGGAAGTAAGCTTCGGTGCTTGGCCGTCCATGGAGGCTTCTTCTGAAACTGACTTATCAGCCATTGGTTTTTGAGTTTTCACTTCCTTTTGTTGTTTGAGGGGGAATGTGTGAATAGTTTGTTATGCTGTGGAACAGAAACAGTGAGGTCTTTGGCCTAGGTTGATGTCTTTAACTCTTGATGATTGTCTTTTGTTTTCAGTCTTCGCTTTGCTTTGTTCGACACAACACAAGAATCCTAGTAAACCAACACAAAGTACACAAAACAACTCAACTGAGAGGGTTTAGGGCATCTTTGGGGTCGGGCCTGGACCCCACTTCACTCACCTCGGTCCATCTCAATGCTTTCTTGGTTTTATCTTTCCCACTGTCATATTTTAATCGTTTTTATTACATTTAAGTAAAATAATGATTATAACAAAGTTTTATTTAAAAAATTAACAACCGAAATTTCATTTTCTTTTGCTTCTCCCAAATTTCTTTTTCACTCTATAATGTAACATGATTTAAAGCTACTTCAGTAGCATAGTGAGAAAATTTTTTATCGCATTATGATTATAAATTTAATTATAAAATGATATTATGGTGTGATGAAATTTTTTGGCAAAAGAAATTTTAATTGATGATAAATTAGTTATGTAATTAGCATGTTAAAAATGATAAATAAACAAAAACAAACAACATCTTTAACTTGAGCTACAACTTTACGGCAATATCAAAAAATTGCTTGGGATAGGTTGTTATGCTATGAAAAATGGGGATATCAAGGTTTTGGCAACCTAAAATTCAGCCTCCTTAACCACACCGAGTGAAGCAGCATGTGAATAGCACCAAATCGCAGCTGTGCTGCTTGGTTCAAAACAAAGTGCATGCCTTTGAACTTACCTCACCCTCTTTTGCATTCTTATCTGATATCCCTTCCAAAATCGTCTTGATTTCCGGTATCTATGTACTGTGAACTTGCTCCAATCAAGCACATCGTTAAATGGCAATGCATAATAACCAGAAATTATAACAGGGACACACCCTATGGAAATTGCAGTGGCCACTCTTGGAATAGGCACTTCGTACCCGCTTGGACACAAGCAAAACTTGCTTTGACCTTTTAATTTGAAGTAATAATCTTTGTTGATGACAGGTATTGGGTGGACTTTTTTTTTTTTTTCATAAAGAGATGGCAACAATCTGTAAATAAAAAAGAAACTGCAAGAATTGTGCACTTATTTCAATAGAATTTTTTTTTTCTTTTGGAAAACATGAAAAGGAAGGGAGATGACGATCGGGGGGGGGGGGGGGGATTGCATTTTCCAAGTAAATTCCACACATAAAACAATGGTTGCAAAGCAGGGCAATTAAGGTGTACATGTTTCCAGAATTTGTTATAATCCTTCTAAGACTTGTTTGCAATGTCATACAGAGAAAAAATAAAAGGTGATCATTGAATTCTACTATTTATATCTTTGATTTGGAATTGTAATTTATTAACGTATTGGATCCTCATCCTACACTTATAATGCCATTTAACACAACATCTCGGAGCACATAAAGACTGAAAAAGTAGTAGATATGTACAGAGGCTGACATCAATCCTCTAGTCTAAGGTTAAGCCTTCTAAGCCATATTGAATGAAGCACCATATGAAGGATATCAAAAGGCTTAGCTGGTCTGTTAAGTTGAAAATGCCTTCTCAATTTCAACACCCTCTTCCGCATTTCCAGATATTCATTTTCCGGAATACTTTGCAGGATCGTCTTAATTTCCGGTATCTTCTCCACCGGAATCTGCATTGAGAATTTGCTCCAGTCAAGAACATCACTGAATGGTAGTACATAGTTATCAGAAATTATCACAGGAACACACCCAGCATAAAATGACTCAACCAATCTAGGACTAGCCACTTCAAACCCACTTGGGCACAAGCAAAACTTGCTCCGTCCCATTAATTTATTGTAATCTTGGCCTTTAGGAAGGTACTCATGGACTTGAACTTCATCATCTTTGCCTTTCCAATGCTGGAGCAAGATTTTACGAATGTTTCCATGGGCACCACCAGCAAAGAAGGCAAGGATGGTTCGCTTATCAGGTGCTTGGCTGAACTTCCGTTGGCTGAGCCCTCTTGGAGGTAAGTTGAGTTCTGGCAATGTAACATCTCTTTGGGGATTAAATCCTTCAGAGCTGTTTGCATTGCATAGCACCCTTATCAAATTCTTGTACAGTACAGGGTCCCGCATAGAGACTTCTGGTGCCTAAAACATTGTGGCGGAAACAATGTTAGATACATGTAAGATTGAAAATCCTTTCAGCTTATTTTGGCACTTGGATTATTTTTCTCGTCAACTGATCACAATCAAAGAACATCCAGGTTTAAGTAAAAGGTTTAGTACCTAAAACATTAACAGAGCAACATCAAGTTAAGGGCAATCCTCTTTAGGTAATGGGATGTGTTAAAAGAAAAGTGAACTCAAATTAATCAATACATCGCTTTAAATATATGACATCTAAAATATTTGAAATTTGAACTTCAACACTTAATTTTTTTTTTTATGTAAAAAAAAAAAAGAAGGGAATATGAATGATGGAGTTAATATTAACATACCCAATCATGGCAAGAGAGCATAAAATGATCAGCACCTCTGGTTCTATTCCAATATGGGTACTTGTTGGCTACAACTTTGATGGAATCAGTGAAGATCCTCACCAAACGCTCACGATCATAAGTGGTGATAGGCAAGTAGATGTAGTGAACAATGTGTCCTACGCTAACCGGAAGGAAGAATACATGGGCCTCATTAGGATGCTGGGCCATGAATGGGCTTTTACCATTATCTATTTCGTCGATAAACTGGCCCTCGATGGCATAGATGTCTTTCATGGGCCCATTATGGAGTAAGGGTCTTTCTCCTTCCTTGTAGGCCCATATCTTGAATCTCTTCACCATTTCTATGTGACTCCTGATTCAAAGCAAAACAGACAAACAAGAATTGCAGTTTCTTGTCATAAACCACGACGGCGACCCCAAACCAAAATGGAAAATTTTGACTCTAATGAATATTATAATTAGAAGAAAGGGAAATTCGGAAAAAACGAGATCATGTCTCTGCTATATAAGGATAGCCTAGGTGTGGGTGGAAAGAATAAGTTGGGTTCCGTAGGCATTCAACGTTGCTACTCATTGTACTGTCAAACTGGCTTTCAGTTTTTACTTTTGCATGCCACATGCTTCACCACATCTAAAACATTCTGAGCCCCCCCCCCTCCCAAAAAAAAAAAGTAAATTAAAGCATATCAATCTGTCTAAAGATTGGTAATCTCCATTAACATTAATTCATCTTGTTCTTATTTGATTAATGAAGCAGAAGGAGAATAATTAACTAAAACCTTTGAAATATTTGGGCGCTTTTGGTGGCTGAACTTTGAAATATATAAGGGAAAAAAAAAAAGAAAAATGATACGATGTAATGCATTTGGTAGAAATTAAGGAACTGTTTTACATATAAACTTTTGAGAATAAAAGAATCCTTTTTGCATGGGATATTGTAGATTTTAAGATTTAAATTTAAGATATACTAAATATTACGATGATAATTGCATGATCTAATAATATTAAGTATTGGATTTAAATAAAGCAATTTTCAAACCATAACACTGAAATAACTCACAAATTAATTACACATTTTCCAAGAAAGTGGAGGAAAATGTATTTGCATTTACCAAATAAATTAAAACCAGGTACCTTCCATAGGCTTCTACTATATATATAATATGATAGTATTATAATATTATAATTAGTATCTTAAATTAAGATTATTAAAGTTGATAATAAAAAAAAAAAAAAACTGTTTAAAGTCACAGAGTTTTCTTAACTGATGAAAAGCGTATGCATTTCTGTACATGCAGCCTCTGGGGATGAAAGTTTCCTCCTTGTCTGATGTATAATTCCTTGTTCGGATCGCTTTCTGGATTGCCGCTCGTGCGCTGGCTAAGTCTGCTTCAACCCTCTCCGAACTACTCTTCTTCTACTCGAACAATGAATTACGACATGCATCAAACGACGATGGAGATCAAATCATCAACTTTCCAAAAAAAAACATAAAATGTTCAGATAAAAACTCATTGACATATGTAAGCTTACTTTGCTAACAACGTTGTGACTTGGTATAGAAGGGGAAGGTGAGGGGTTGGAATTTTCATTGGTGAATGTTGTGAAAAATGAAGGGAAAGGGATGGAGAGATTTTTGATCTGGTTTGTGGGAGAAAAGCAGAGGAGAATGAGAAGAAGGAAAGTCGGAAAAAGCAGAAGTGTTGAGGAGCAGCTAAAGGTTGCCATGGCTACTTCTTCAGGTATTTTTTTTTTTTTTTTTGTGATGCTTAAAATCCTTCACTTTAAATGTTTTATATTATGGAGCGAGATCAGGGAAGGGTGTTTATTTGGTGGTATGTAAGAAGTTGCCTAACTAAGCTTTGTCTTTAATGGAATAATAGTTTTCTTTTGGTAAGAAAAGATTCACTAATCTTTTAATTAATACTGGAATTTTTTTTAATAATAAAAGTTTTTAGGTTTTATCGCATATCTCTTCCTGAATTAATCTAAATAAATTTATTTATATATGATTTAACAATTTATAAAAAAATATTATCACTCAACTTCCATCAAATTTGAACTTGAGAGTCGAGACAATTAAGATAGAAAAGAGTAAACTCTCTTATTACTTATTTATTTTTTTATGATTACTTATTTAATTCAATCCATTTTTAATCAAACAAATTAAAGGGATTTTTGTGGTTAATGGGATTCTTGTAGTTTTCAATGATAAAAGGTTTGTTATATTATGTACACGTCTGATGCTATATATAATGGAGAAAACAACTTGTTCTCCCTTTCTTAATTACATCATTTCTTTTCTTTGGGCTACACATTTCTAATATGTCAATAAGAGACTATATTAGCTTATGATGAATTTTTTTTAAATTGAAAAGCACCAGAAAAATGAAAAGCACCAATGTTTTTAATTTATGGATGACGTCCAATGACATTCAGCCTTTTCTTTTCCTCTCCTTCTTCTCGGCCCCTATCTTTCTGTCTTTGTGAAACTTTAATTTTTTTAATAATATATATATATATGTTTTTTAATATGAAATATTTTGTTGGTTTTTTAAATTTTCAATTAATTAATAAGTAATTACCATATTCCTTAATAAATAAAACGCCACAAAACTTCTAATACAAGCAAAGTAAGGATGGTAATGTATAAATTATGTTTTGTTAAGTCAACAAGTCTTGTAATCTGCTAATAAAATAGGAAAAATCTTGATTGCAATAATCAAAGTTCAATTTCTGAAAGTTCTAAATATAAATTTATGTCTCTATAAATTCTTGAAAATGATACGAGTCTTTATCATGCATGATCAATATTAGAGAGGGATGAAAAATCAGAGGAGAGGGTGTCATTGAAGAGACCAAACCATGTAAAGTCATAATTATTACGTACGTTCTTAAGTTTTAAGTTTCTGACAATCCATAAGACCTGAAGGAAAAAATCATATGGGGTGTTTTCTTGAGTTTTCTTTGGTCCATCCGTTGCAAGATTTTCCTTCTGTATTATTACAGATCAGTGAGACATACATACGTGATCATAAAAGCGAAGGATAATATGAGTTATGATAAGATCTCCATTGGGATACAAAGGAGGGGTTTGTGGGTGCTTCTTAGACTTCAACTACTTGCATATGATGGGATTAGATTTAGTATTTATGCATATGGTCTTTGAAATATTGTGTCATTTACAGTCCCCTAAGACCTATGAAAATAGGTTTTTGTACTCAAATATTCAAATTTTCATTTACAAAAAAAAAGAAAAAATTACACGACTAGCCACGCAGTAATAATAATTAAAAGAGAAATTATTTTTCTAAAACTCCATTGCTAAAATTATATATATAATAATAATAATAATAACTCAGCCCTAGCCCTAACTCTTAAATAATCATACCAGTAATTATATATCATTAGAAGGTGAAGAAAATTTACATGTTGAAGGTTTGGATAATTTGTGAGAAAAGGACAAACTCGTAAGGTATATTACTCTAGCTAGGTTGACCCAATGCATCATTTTATGTATGAGGAACATGTTTAAAACTTAGAAGAGAAGCATGATCATGAACTAATGTCTCAAGTTTAGAGTACTCTGCCTTGGATCACAAGCTTTCTGGAGCCAGCTGCTTCCTTTAATTAAATGCGCTTATCATCAGGTTGAGCTTGAAATGAATGTAATCTAAGAATTTCAAAAGTGAAATCGATCAGTACTTCTCGTTGTCCTTAATATTCGGCCGAATGAAAATCACTTTATGAAAATAAAATGAACATTAAGAAAAAAAATATATTGAGAGAATGTATAGATTTGTAAGTTTATTTGAAGAATTCAAAAGAAATATAAATCACCTCTAATCTCTTCCTCTATTTTTAAATTATGATTTTTGTTTATAAAAAAATATAAATTTAGTAATTTATAAATTTACGTTGTACAAAATATTGATAATTTATATATTTGTATCGTATTTTATACGAAAATTACATATTACAATTCATATTGATATGAAAATATGATATATAGTTTTTTAATTTTATTAAACATATATATGATTTTGTCAACATTTTAAATCGTACCACTTTCATATATTTTATTCGTATTATTTTTGTGTCTTATTATCATATTGTGTTTTAAATTATTAGGTATAAAAATATAATATATATATATATAGTTATGAATTCTTAATAAATTTAGAATTTATATTTAATATATTGTCAGTATATAAATTTTATTTACTATCCGTTAATCAAATAATATCACCTCACTAATAAAAAAGTTAATATTACAAATGATATCTTTAACTATAATAAAATATTTAATGTAGTATTTAAATTTTAAAAATCTCCAATATAATATTTGAAATATAAATTTATTAATTAATGTGGTACTTGAAATATTGTTTGTGTACCATCATTTGCCACATTAGATATGAATATTAAATTAATTAATAAATTCATAATTCAATAGCATATTAAAATTATTAAGCTTAAGTATAATATTAAACATTTTATTATAATTTAAAAATCATTCATAACACTAACTCTTAAAAAATTAAGTTTTTACGTATTTATTTTAAGAATTTATAAAAATTTATATTTATTCAAATATTATTATATGATTTATTGACGTGTGTAGAATCTAAAACTCATTTAAAAAAAAAAATCTAAGAATGAAACTATACGGATTCTTATGTTTTGTGATCAAAGGGTGCGCTTATAGAACATTTTTTATTGCGAATTTCCTTAAATGGCCCAAACTTGAGGTTAGCCGTTGCCTTTCTGGCCCCAAATGTGGTCCAAAACTGTACTTAAACGTCCCAAAGGAACAATCAGTCAAGCATGTTCTTCACAAGGCTTTCCTGTTAGATCAAGATGACAACCTGAAGTTGAGCCTTCTTAGCCACACCGAGTGAAGCACCATGTGAATTACATCGAATGGCTTAGCCGGCCGGTTCAACTCAAAATGCCGGCGTACTCTCTTCACCCTTTTATGCATCTTCAAGTACTTACTATTTGGTATCCCTTGCAAAATGGTCTTAATCTCTGGTATTTTCCCCACTGGAATTTGTACTGAGAATTGGCTCCAATTGAGGACATCACTAAAGGGCAATGCATAATTGTCTGAGATTATGACTGGCACGCACCCTGCATAAATTGCTTCAACCTCTCTTGGGGCCTTTTGGGCTGGCCACTTCAAACCCACTTGGGCACAAGCAAAACTTACTTCGGCCCATCATTTGGGTGTAATTTACATCCTTGGGGAGGCGAGCATGGACTTGGACTTCACTGTCCTTATTTTTCCAATAATCCAGTAAGATTTTCCTGATGTGTCCATGAGCTGAACCCGCAAAGAATGCCAAGATGGACCGGTTATTAGGCTTCTGGCTCATATTGGGAGGACCAAGCTTTCCAAAGGGTACGTAAAGTTCAGGCAATGAGAGTATGAGACGTCGGTTTTGGGCCTGAACCCCTCGGAAGTATTAGCATTGCAAAGGACCCTGATGAAGTACTTGAAGAGTTCAGGATTGGCATGTGAAATGTCCGGTGCCTGAAATATCAAACTAGCAATATATATTTGAATGCATTTTATAATGTAAATGCAGCATTCAATTGACCTTGCTTCCTTCATGGGAAGGTTATTGAAGGGTTAGAATATGTGTATTCACTTGTCAATTAAGCCAACTACTTATCCGTAGATATAAAGATCAGCTGAAAACATCCACAAAATGAGAGAAAAATGAAGGGAAAACAAAGTTTTAACATACCCAATCGTGACATGAAACCATAAAATGATCAGCACCGTTGCTTCTGTTCCAGTATGGATATTTAGTTGCCACAGTATTTATATAGTCTATCACTAATCGTTGCAATCGATCACGAGAGTACTCTTTAACTGAGGTGATAGGCTTATAAACATAGTGAATCACTCCTGTTACACTAAAGGGCAAGAAAAACACATGTGCTTCATCAGGATGGCTAGCCCTAAAAGGGTTATTCTTGCTCTCCATTTCATCAATGAACTGCCCCTCTATGGCATATATATAGTTCAATGGCCCGTTGTGGACTAGAGGTAGCTCACCTTCCCTGTATGTCCACACCTTGAACCTTTTTATCATTTCTGCATGGCTTCTGATTATGAAAAAATGGAAAAGGAAAATGTTAATCCATCGGAAATTAGTACTAGGCCTCTCAAACATAAGCTATAAGAGGAAAAGTTCAAACAAAGGTAATTAACTGGTAAAATGCATATGCATTTCTGTAAATGGATCCTCTTGGAACAAAAATCTCTTCCTTCTCTGATATTGTAAAGTTTTGCAATTGAACTGCCTTAAGAATGGCTGCTCGTGCTCTAGCTAAATCTTCTTCAATCCTCCCCAAGTTGCTCTTTTTCTGCCAATGGAGAGACAATTACAAAGTAGATGGATTAAAAAGGACCAAAACAGTCATCAATCGTTGAGGTTTTAAAACAAAACCTGCAAACATTAATATAATATTGCTCACCCTGATCATAGCAGCATTATATTTACTGCTTTTGTACATGGAAGTTGACAAAAACCCATCAAGGAAAACGTGTGGTGCTGTTGTATGGTTGGTCTCTCCTCGACGGAAAGGTGAGAAAGAAGTGAAAAGTTGTGTAAAATGGTTGCTATTAAAGGGAGACGAACAGTAAAGAACCAGAAGAAGAAGTAAAAAAACTGGAAAAAGCAAGGAAGACGAGTGACAACTTGAGGTTCCCATGGCCTTAAGAAATATTTCCCTGTTTCTCACTTTGTCTATGGTGTTTCTTCCATTGGATACATGAAAGGTAGGAAGATATTGTCTGCTATATATGAAAGTTGCAGAAATAAGTATTGCCAACCTTTCAGTTTGCTATATAGTATTTCTAAATGGATATTTCTAGCTAAATGCCTTTGACTACAGCCCCGGAATATTCAAATGAGCAAGAAAAGAATATTGTTGCTCGCTATATATTCTTATAGTATATATACATATTCTTTTGCTTAATCCGTACATTAGTAAGATATGATGACTAATCACATGGCAATTTGAGCAAGGCTTAGTTCAGCAATGATCTTGATTTGATTATTTCATATCCGAAATTAAAAACCTATCAAGGACTTCCTACCTTTTCTACAACAAGTAATATAGTATTGACTACTAATCTTGAATTCAATCAGATTAGTGCTATTAAAAATGACAAGTTCATTTTCCCATTCAAATTTTGACTCTTGGTTGATTGAAGTGTACTTGCTTTTGCAGACCGATGTTGCTCTCATGGTGAATATTAATACAAATATTCTTTTCAGCTTCATTAGGCTTTTCACGTGTGTAGGCCTTAAAAGTCACCCATGTTTATGGTGAAGCTTTGAATTCATATTCTGGAGAATAGTCTGAGCTCTAAGCCCGAGTGCTTACTGATTTACTCAACCACAATATTTCGCTGGCTAAGACGGTGTCAGTCATATGACTACATCAATTTCAGCAATATATATATTAAGTCTTGGATCTCAAACCTCTAGAGTCTTGTGCCCTTTAAGTGAAATTGAAGTCAATACTAAAAGTCCAACCTGCAGATAGGTGATGGACTCTGTAATTGTTTACAGATATTGATGCAAACTCTGATAGATAAGTTGAAAGTGGTTTATTCAAGGGTAAAAATCGATATTCTTTCACGAGCGGCTAAACTAGTGATAAAGGACGCCAACAGGTCGACGTTTCAGGTGATAAGCAGACTTTTGACCATTTCTATAACATTGTCCCAACAAAAAGTCATGGCTTATGTAATAGCCAGCTTGGAGACCGTCGTACGTCCCCCTCGATTGCATTATTCATGAGATTCCAAGTTCAAATCTCATCCTCCAACTTGGCTATGAACACGGTCCTGATTTTTTTCTTGGTCTTTAAATATTGCTTCTCTAACTCAGTTAATGCTGCTCTGTTTAAAGAGTTGCTGTATTCTGATGAGCTTCAACTGAACCAGAATGTACTTTATTTTGGTTTTAAAGCTTCAATTTAACACATTGTCGTGGAGTGTAGACAGTCAGTCAATTGGCTGGCTTATTTTCTGGACTTTTAAAACCTTGTGTGGTTGGGATGAAACTGGTAACTACCGACCGAGGATACTCTCCTTGAAGCATTTATGAGATGTTTCAAACATCAATCAGATACTAACAGTTCAAAATAAAGTACAGCATTGTTCATAGAAGAACACTCTTGCATGATAAACTGATGATACAGTCAAAAAAAATCATTAATGAATAGGCAACAAGTCTAAAAATTTGTTGAATGAAGTCAATACCCAATAAATGAAACAAGAAAAAAAGAAGTAAATTTATTTCAAGTATGATTCTTTGCATATTGCTGCTTTACTGATAGCCGGCCCTTGATGACGATGCTATCTTATCATTAATATACATTGGGAGAAAAATACCTGAACTATCATAAAACATAAATCCCAACACCCCCAACCTCACAAAAGATTAAAAAAAAAAAAAACTAAAATAAATGAATATTACTCACAGTTACATGACTTAATTGAACAAACGTAAACCCACCTTTTGGTGAGACAGAGAAGAACCTTATATCTTGTGATGCATAAACTTTTAACAGCCATTCCGGTCACGCCACTCCAAAAATACAAGAGAAGCACCATAATGAGCCAATGCACCCATCACTACGAGAATGTGAAATATTTGATGACTATGCCCTGCTAAGTCAAACCATCCAGGCTTCAACCTCTCTGGAATTCGGCTAACATAGAACATGGTCCCTGTCAAATAGAATATGGCCATGGCAGACTCATAGGCCAGAGTGATGTTGCGACGTGGATTAGACCAGTTGACAATGGCAGCATGGATTCCAGGGACAATGCCAAAGAGCCCCATGGAAGAAAAGATTAAAGCCCGAAATGCACGAAATTTGCTAGTTGACAAGGTTGGTGATAGCAGTGTTATAATGGTGAACAAGCCTAAAGATGTGATTCCACCAAGGTAGACAAAGTGCCATTTTGGATCACATTGAAAAATATAGTAGATTGGAGGGAAAAATGATGTGATGATCATGGTAGTGATCCCGGTATAGTCAATTCGCAACAATGTAAGGTTTAGATGGTGCGAATGGCAAGAAAAGAGGTGGCAAATGCTGCTTGATAGGAGGCAGAACATGGAGCCGCCTAAGAATACATAGAATGGCCACCGTGTAACAGGCGTCACAGGAAGGTTAACATCCAATTCCGGGGTCGTTATTCGCTTCAAATCAATGAGATTTGCTGTTCCCTGTAATTTTCCAACTATCAGCTCTATGGCATAACCAAAATTAAATTAACAAAAAATGAAGTGAATAGTAGGCATAACAGTGATATAATCATGAATAAATGCCATGGGGGCAAACTCACCAGAAAAAGGTCTTCAGAATCCTGAGAAACATTGGTGTCGCCACTAATAGGAAAAGACCTGCACCAATTGTATAACATAAATTCTTTATTTACGACAAGGAAAATCTATAGCTAGTATGAGTATTAAAAATTAACACTTAAAGGTGAAAAATTAAGAAAGTTTTTGAAGGTAATTGATCAACTTTTGTCTTTAGCAAATTTTTAATAGAATTCTGAAAATTCAATATTTTAAAATGGAACCTAAAATATTGAAATAGGCAGGCTGCCATATATCTGTGATCTGACATATTGGGAGCTGTTTTACAGATAAGTGAAAGTGACCACAAATATAATTGTGAAAATGGAACACCAAATTCCAGCCACAAAAATGGTGAGCCCTTTCTCAGATGTCAGAATCGACAGCCTGTTTGACTCTTGTGAGTAATGAGCCTAGCATGAATTGCATTCATTTCGTTTCGTTGAATCATCAAATTAGTACTTGCCTGATGATCACTCAAAGCTTTTATTGTGATGATCCAACTCTCATCTGAAAATCCATAAAACAAAATTAAACAACTAAACTCTTGTTTGGAACCGGCTCTTGTTTTATTTTGTTACTTCCTAATGAGGTATGTCATGGCAATAGCTGAAGAAAATCTTGTCCTCCAAATGGTCAGTGGTAAGTTCCCTCCCTCAATTTCCCCTCTCTCAACAGTTCACCTTCCAGTCCTCTAGACTCAGATGAATGGATAAAATTTATATTACTGTTTATTACCAAAACATTAACAAAATTTGCAAAAAGAAATAATGATTAAAATTTAGTTTTCTAAGATTGATTTATGAAGTTGTGATAATAAATAAATAATATAGTAATTTCTTCAGAGTAAATAGAATTTTCATCGAACAGCTTTTATCTACCTTGCAACTTGTAAGGCAGTAGGAAAATGTTGGATCCCACCTCATTAATATATTTCATGACAATTAATTAATCGGCAGAACCTAGCTATTTTAGTATTTTCAAGATGTGTGAACAAATACTTAGCATGATCATCTCAATTTTGTTTCTTTGAAAGTTAAAAGCAACAAAACAAAAATGATTTTATATATAAACTTCTGTTTTTTAAAAAAATTCAAGACAGCATAGAAATATACTACTACCATTTCTACCAAAAACAGTAAAAAAACAAAAAGGAAAATCAGTTTATTTTTTTTAATTTTTTGGTACTAATGAGATCCTAGTTTGAAAATAAAAGACAGAATTTCGTCTGAAAATCAGTTTATTTGCTTCAATGAGTAACACTGAAAAAAAATGTAAAATACGTTAAAATTAAAGACTAAAACCTTAAACGAACCTGGTTAAGAAGGTAATGAGATCCACTATTTGTGGCACTTCCATCAAATTGGTCATGGTCAATCCCAAAAATAGAACAAACCCAAGAAAATGCCTGAATAGTCCAACACAAAACCATAATTGAATTAGAAAAAACGGGGTACTTAGAATTTTTGTAAGAAGAAATGAATCAAAGAAATTACTAAACAGAAACAAAAAAAAAAAAAAGACAATAAAAAAATCATGAAACTTTGTTTTTTTTTTTTTTTCGGTTTTCATCATACATACGTCCAAACATTAAGTGTTTCGTTATGCCAACGAAAGATGCTAAAAAGAGCTTCCTTGAGAGACCAATTAGCCCTGTAGTAATTCAGTAAAAACTCATTGTCCTTCATGTACTCCGGCAGCTCCTTGAACGACACCAAAACATAACGTTTTTTAGCCTTGTTCGAGCCCTGGTCGTCATCATCTTTCTTCCTGTTTTTTACATCAACAGGTTGAGAAACCAGCTTGGAATCGAGGGTCGGATCCATCTTTTTGTTTTTCCTTTTCAAAACAACAGCTTGATCTTCAACAAAAGTCATGACCTTGAAAGCTTAGGAAAAAACCCTGATAGAGATTTATAAAGAAAGCTGAAGTTTTCCTTCTGGTTTTTCGTTATTTTTTATTCTTTTTGGAGCGTAGTTTGGAGGATAGCAGATAGCTAATTACACCAACTGCAACATTTAAGGGGGGGCAGAGAAACGCTGTCTAGAGCATACCTATAAGTTAATTTCTTGTTGGTGGCTAGTATGGGACTCCTTTTTGCATGCAAATGTAAAAAACCAAAGCGTGTGGAAAGGAAATTAAAAGTAAGGGGAAAAGTTGTTGGTAGGTCATCAATAAGCATGTGGGATAATCGGAAAATGACCCTATTACTTGACTGAGTTTTGAACTTATGAACAAACAAAAAAAAAAAGTTTCAAGTTTCCTTTGCTTGTGTTCCCTTTCAAAAATTAAATCAAGTGGTGATTTTTCAACATACGTGGATGGATAGATTGATATATAGGTATGGTATCTCATCTCTAGTTGAAAGGAATATTTATTTGAGGATTTTTCCTTTCGTCATGGTCGACATCATTCGTTAAGATTTTTTATAACTAACATTTAATTCTATTTAAGATTATTAATAATTTAATTTTATCATAAAAATTAAAAATTTAATATTTTATTAATAGATCATTATATACACCAGATTTACATCTTATATACTAGAGAAAAAATTTTGATCCCAACTCTTTGAAATCGATGGTACATTGGATGCCATAAATTCATCTGGTTATTGGTGGTTTTTAAGGGAACATTAATCTCATCCTAGTATAAAAAACACATGAGATATGTTGTCATATCCAATTAGGTAATAATTTAGACATTATAAAATGAAATTCATAAATTAAAGATATATAACAATATTTAAGCATATGATTAGAATAAAACAATATGCATTCCCTAATAATTAAACCAATATATAAATGCCACAATTTTATGAAGCTCATCATCATGAACTAGAATGTCTATTTGTTTAAAATTAAGCAATGTTAATCATAATACAACAAAATCTCTAGAGAAACTTAATCAATCACGAAATTAACTAGCATGCAGTGAGTAAATTGTTTGTATATTCGTTAAATAGAAAAAAAAAAAAAGAAATAAAATTAATCCTTCTTAATAAGTCTATCTATATTTAGAACTAATTTCTTGCCTAGACTCAAAAATCTTGGCTTTTGTTTTTTTTCTTGTGGAAGTCATATATTACAAAAAAAAATCCAACCTTATGAAATAGAGAAACAGATTGTAATGATATCTTCCTATCATTTTTTTTTTTAACTCGAGATTATCTGATTTAGAGAGATTTTTAAATTTCAATTAGTAAATTTTAAAATAGATTTAAAAAATAAAAAATTAATTAAAAAGCGAAACATATATAATTTTTTTAATCCTTTTGTAAAACTGAAAAAAATTTATTATCAATATATAATAATAATTTATAGATTAGCTAGAAAATTAGGCAACTTTCTTTCTCAATCACAAAACAGGTGGCCTACTAAAAGACCGTTGATTTCTTTTGTTGCTTTTTGCTTGTTTGACTCTCCAACCTAAATCCAGAGAAACACATATTTCTTGTCTGTGCAATAACATGTTAAGCTAAATATAACCTTGGTTAATTAATTACTAATTACTGGTTCATAAATCTTAATTATGAGACCAAGTTTTCTTTTTTATTATTATTTTTTAATTTTTTTTGTGGGTGTTACTTCTTAACTACCTTCATAATCTTCCAAAACTCATAGGTTCTAGGTTAAAGGAAATTAATTTTCTTTACGACACATCTTAAAATTTAAGATTTACTTGGTTTTTGACTTCGTTAATTTATATTTGTTTTCATCAAGTAAAAAACTTGTTTATATGCAAAAAAAAATTACATATTTTATAAGAATTAAAATTAATAAATATAAGTTTTATAGATATCAAAGAAACATAATTTTACTTCTTTAACAAATTCATTAATAAGTGTATTTGAATTAATATTTAAATTTCTCTATTTCCTTATCATTTATCAAATCTAAATGTTTGGGTGAAAGAGGGTTTGAACCTAACACTAATAAAAATATATCCTGAATCAAGTGTTGAACTGTTCAAGCTCCATATATTTATTATATATATATATAATGATAATTAAAAATGTACAAGTTAGATAATACTAGTAAATTAATTTCATATAATTCCAAATTTAAGCACTTAAGTTCAATAATCATTGGAAGAACATGTCAAAATTAAGGTGCAGCCTTAAATTAAATTAATCAAACAGAATGAAAGCAAATGGATATAATATATATATGTATATATATAATTGAATTGATCAATGTTAACTGATTGGAATTAAAGTTCCAATTAAATTGTTTGTTAAATTGCTCTTTTAGCTTGCATAATACTACTAAATATATACCTAACCATGGTCCAATAATTAATGAAATAATTTTACAATTGAAGTAGGCATTTATTAAAAAATCCTTTGTTTCTTAAATGTGATTTATTAAGTTGCATTTACATATAAATAATAAATAAATAAAGCCAAAAGTGTAGGATTTCTGATTTCTATTTTTGTTAATATTTTGTCTGGAATGTTTTACCTAAAAAAGTACTGTACCAATTTTTTTTTTTTCGTACATATCAGCTCCTTATAAATCATTGTTGTAAATAGCTTGCTTAAATTAAGAGGAGAGGAAAAATAGATATCATTGTTGAAACAGTTTCAAATAAGAATCAATCGAATTTTGTTTGAGAAATTAAATCAATCGAATTACTAATATATGAAAAGAAAAAATATAATTTATACCATACTTTTATTTTTGTTTAAAATTTTAATCTCTATTTACTTAATTCATTTAAATTTTTTAAAATCCATAATCTTCAAATTATGTGCGGGAATGTCAGAAAAATTAGCAGGAGTAGATATATGCTAATGTGGAGAAAAATAAAAGGACCGACCATCAATCGCATGATCCTATGAGAGTTTTTTTTTTTTTTTTGGATAATTTTATAACGTAAAAGTTGGGTATTCTGCCAACTAAAATTATGAACATTAAATTTGTAATGGATCATAAAGTGCATTGAGTTAAATGCCGAACCATTTGATTTGAGAAAACATTAAATATAAAAGTTAGTATTTATACATTATGAATGCTTTTTTATAATTTTTATTAAACATAAATCTTTACAACCAAATGGAAAGGAATAGGATCATTCATTTGAGAAATTCAATAACTTTAAAAGTTTATTTTTAATGTAAACAGAAAATTTACCAAAAAAAATTAAGAATAAATTTAATAATTCATTAATTCGTATATTTATAATTATATATAGTACTAATAATTTATATATTAAATCATATTTTATATGAAAATTTTGTTTCATAATTTGTATTAATATAAAATATAAAATATATATTTTTAAATTTATCTAAATTATATATAATTTTTACTAAAATTTTAAATATATCAACTTTATATTTATTTTTTATCATAATATTATATCTTATTTTAAAATTTCAAACTTTGGCTAAAGATAATAATTTCAGCACTTGACATTCAGCGCTCTAAATATGAGCTAAACACGTCAGACCCTTTTTTACCCTAAAACCAGCTATCTGCTTAAATGTTTCGAGTTTTATTTTATTTTTATTTTTATTTTTTCGCACGAAAGTTAACTTAAGAGGACTAAAATCCCTCCTGTTATTCCGATTTGACTTCATCCAAAATTTTTAAAGATTAAAACGCCACATGCAATGTTGATTTTTTAAGAAATATATCATCATCTTTTTTTCAGTAATGCTTGTTGATGTAATCTTTTTCATGATCAAACTTATACATTTTTTAAGTTTTTATGATTATGAGTATATTGCTATCACTTTTTGTTCCTTTAATTATTTTTATTTGTTAAAAATATTTTTTGTTCAATTTAATTTTTAATATTAATTGAGACCGTCTTATCAAGTCCACAATTGGAAAAAAATAAAATAGAGAATATTGAATAAAATAAATTTCAAAAAATAAATTAATGAATCAGGTGCAATAAAAGAAACTATGAAAATAAATATTAAATAAAATTTGTTATGCCATAATAAAATGAAAAAAAAAAATTGCTCTTAGGATATCACTTAAAATTTTTAATAATACTAAAATTCAATTGAATTGTAGTGTAACAAACTATACAAATATTGTTTCCACTGGTAAGCAATGAAAAAAAATAAAACAACAATTTTTATGCAACCTCCAAAAGAAAAAAAATCCAACTTTACAAGAAAGAGTGAATCAACAGAAAAAATTTATTGCTACTCTCAAATGGAAGGAGAAACAAGACCTTTTTTTTTTTTTTTTTTGTTTACCACCAATAGGGAGCATTTCATTTTTTTTTTCCTTGGTTTTGGAGTTATACAAAGCTAACTGAAGAGGTTACAAAGTTTTAATTTATTTTCATGATCAAATACTCGATTTTTTTTTTTTATACGTGAAGTCAGGACAATCTTTAATAACGAGTAACCGGTTTCAAGTTTTAAAAAAGGAGGTGAATGATCATATCTCAAGTGCTGAAAAGTGATAGATGGGTGGCTATCCCTAGAAGTCCCCGTCTACCAAACCTTTCTCTATCAGTCGGATAAACTGCTGCTAGCCTCGCCAGTCGCTACGGAACGTTGGGATTGCGACTTCTTGAGGGCAAAAGTGTGAGGAAAACGTGAAAATGATCTTATTCTTGTTCCATCCCATCTCATAGAAAATACAATCACACACCATAAAAGAAGAAAAAAATTGGCGATATCCCAGCAGCAATCTGCATAAACAACTTGTATATCACGCTTGTATCAAATTTGTGTTGGATAATTAGGATTGGAAGTGCCATGCCAAAGACTGGCAGACACCCAACTCAACGCATTTTTAATGATACAACAGCCATACAAATATAGTTGACGGCTGGTATTCAAACTTACTCGCGTTAGAAGCAAACATCAGAGGACATTTTGAAGGAATGTACAAATCTCATGGAAATATTTAGATTGGGTTTTGATGTTTTCAGGGAAAAAAACCTAGCATCCAAGGCTTCAAGTTATGAGTTATGAGCAGCGGCCGGATAAAGGAATAAGAAATGACAGTATGATAGGTGAGAGAAGCTCTGGTGTGAATCTTGGATGGAGGCATGACTCTGATTTTCTAGCTTTTAAGTATATTCTTCAAGGAATCACGGACATTTGAGCTCGTGCAATCTTGAGGTGTCTGAACAATGTTGGGGCTGTCAACAGGCATGACATGGGAGAGTGGATAGTTTCTGTTTGCATGCAATAGATTGCTTGCACTGCTGCAAATTCCCTTCAATATTACACTTTTATGCAGCCCACCAAGCAACCCTTCATAATCTGTATCCCCAGAGTCTCCAACAAAAACCACCATCTTTGACAGGTC